TACCCCTCTTAAAATGGCGGCGGGCGTTGCTAGGTCAAGTGTCCCGGATGCTGATGTCACCGCGAAAAGATGTATTGGGACACCCTACGCACTCGCACCCTTTATCGGGAACGCGCAAATGAGGGGCGCGAGGTTGGAAGTGCGAGTATTGGGACGGGGCCTAAAGTTTATATCGCTCTGGGCGGGGGGCTGCTGACGTCAGGTCTTGCTTCAGACGTCAGGTCTTGCTTCAGACGTCAGGTCTTGCTGCCGCGCCAGTGTTGGCGCCAGATTCAAAATTCAAATGTAGTAATACAGGTCGCCAGCAGATGGCGCCTCACAGACGGTTTTAGGCAGAAAGTTGATCTTTCAACTAATTTGCACCAAAGTGACAAAATTATGACCAGGATATAGACAACACTATTGGACACTCATTTATACTGTTTATCAGCAAAAAAAAGTGGATTTGAGGGTGAGTTGTCTGATTCTGTTTGAAATCACTGCTTTCCTCCAGCACAGAAGTCATTTGTTGACAACATAAAACTCATATTTGATCAGTTTCTAGGCACATGAAGCCAGTGTGACATAAATAAAAATATTTATTAAGCAGTGCTAATAAACATAACTTTATTAATATTACAGTGGGTCAAATTTATCACAAAATCTGATAAATAAAACATTTCAAAAAATTTCCCTTCCATTTGTTAGACAGCATTTCTTATTTCATCTATAGTCAAAGATAATTCTAATTTAAATGTACTTCTATGAATTACACATCCAGATAAACAGGCGTGGACAGGTCAGATTCAATGCTAAAACAAAATGAGTTTATACATGCATTTACACATTAAAGGGATTCCAGACGATCAGGGAAGAATTCAAGTATCAACAAGAGAACAGAACTCAAGAAAAGGCAACATAATTATTTTGATTAAAGCTGGGGTACCTAACTTTTTGTTTCGTCCTTAACTCCCACCAGAAAGCCTTGTCAAGGAAAAATACTTGCTGGCTTTTCTCAGTGGAGAACCCTCTCTTTTGCATACTTGTAAGAAATAGCTGCGAGTCACTATTTGACGTTTGCCAATACATGCATATTGGGATTTGGAACGTAGGTATCCCAGCTTTAAGAAACATCCCAACAAACATGTCAAATCAACTTTAGATTATTGATTTCCTAAAGCAAACATGTAAAAAAAAAACTTGCCACTTCATTAGGTTTGCAGATTCAAATATTCAAGTCCAGAAAAATAAGTTTAGGATCTACAGTCCTGGGTTTGTACCTTTCTTAAAGAGTAACATTTGTAGTTTAATACGATTTTCTTGCATTAGAATAGAGAGTAAAGTCTGGTCATAGTCTGGGTTTAGTCCTGGTTTTAATTCCAGTTTAGTCCTGATTTTAGTCCCGGTCTAGTCAAGTCCTTGCTTAGGAATCGACTGTAAAACAGAACAGACCAAACGCAACGTCACCCAGAGTTCAGCCTCTACCGCAACATTTAAGCTGCTCTTTAGCTTTAGCCATATAATATAATCAGAGTCAAAATAAATTATAGTTTTACACCAATCAGGAATTACAAATTTGGAACCAATTTAAAACGTTCACAATTTCTAATTAAAAAAACATAAAATGTCTGTGTTCCATTATAGGAGGTTGAGCACAGTAACAAGTATCTAACCGTCCAACCATCCATTATCTTCTGCTTTATCCGTTTCTGGGTCGCAGAGGCAGCAGTCTAAGCAGAGTATCTAACTATTTACTTCCAAATCATTACAACCAGGAAGTAAAATTGAACAAACTGGAATTGTCAAATTTCACAATCTGACTTGCCTACGCTGGCTTCGTCATGGTGACAATCCACAAACAGTCTATTATAAAGTCTCAGAAGTTTTAAAGTCAAAAAGTGGCCGTGATGTTACTACAGTAACAGTATGTAGATGGTGACCATGCTTTGTGACTACTGCAGTAAATCTTGTATTAGACAATATTATAAAAAGCAGCAAAATATTCCTACAAATAAATATGTTTCTTCAGTGCAAAGGGCAAAAAGCCACAATTCAGAGTTAAATCAAGATGAAAAGAGAAATATGATCAGAAACAGATGAGGTCTCTATACATAAATAAGGCCAGAGTTAATTGTTATGTGAGGTTTTAGCAAGAGATGTGGAAAGTGTTTTACGATCAAAATAATTCTAAAATGTACAGTTGAGCTTGAAAGTTCACACACACACAGCCAGAAGTCATTTTGAGAGATGAGATTATGAATGCTGAGGCAAACACCGTTTTAAACACTCATTGTTTGTTGTTGCGTGAAGCCTTATATAGTCAAATAAAGACGTTTTATATTTATAATTTAATTATTACATGATTGAGCTGAACAGGGGAGATCTCAAATGTGCTGGTCATGCAAGGAATTTACAAGAACTGGAGGCCTTTTGCCAAGAAGAACGGGCTTTATTGTCATAGAGACAAGGGAGAGAGACAAGAGAGAGACCAGAGAAAGATGAGAGACCAGAGAAAGAGACAAGAAAGAGACCAGAGAGATAGATAAGAGACAGACAAGAGAGAGACCAGAGAGAGACCAGCGAGAGACCAGACAGACCAGCAAGGATACAGAACCTCACCCATAACCACCACAAAAGACTCCACGCTGTCATAGACATCAAAAGAGAAATATTGAGAACTGTGGGAGGGAGACTTCTGATCAACGTCAGAAGGAGTTTCAGTTGTCATGATCATTTGAAAATAGAAAACCTGTTTATTCTTTTACCTTTTCATTCATAATCTCCTAACAACAACAAAATCTGCTTGGGTGTGTAACGCACAATTACACAATCTCAAAATGAAATTGTAAGTAGCTTTCCCTGGTTTCATAGTAAATTACTGCAACAACACCATTAGTTGTCTTTTAGAGGCGACCTGATAATTTATTGAGGTTTAGTGAGGTCTGAATAACTGGATTTCACCGTGGGACCAGGCAACGCAAACGCCATCTGGTTTTAGATCTGATGGCCATAGTATTTGTAAAGAAATCAACATTACCAAATTAGAAAACTTGTTCACCTCATGTCTGTGATACCAGTTATATTTTCTTATCGAGTCAGAAAAGTTAAATATTCAAAGTCACTTTGAGAAAACACACACGAGTTCCGTCGAGAAATATCTACATGGGAATAAAACCTTCTGGGTCGAGTTTCACTTCTGCATAAAAAAACAGCCAACAATTGCAGGTCCTGAGAAGGCCAAACTAAAGACCTGTGTGGGAAACAGACTGAAAACTAAAACGCATATTTATGGCTATCTTTCTGTTTCAGCCGAATCCAAACCGTGACCAGTTAGAATTTGTTCTCGTTTCTATCAAACATTGCTCCTCACTCCCCTCTGCTGGTGAAAGTCCAAAGTGTGAACACGCCCCAACTTTAATCCTTGTAAAAGTCCTGATCTTGAAAGTATAGAATAATGGTGATTAAATATTATGCTTTATTTGTGGCCATTATACTGAGACTGTTTACTTCGTCCCTTCATGTTTCAGAATGAAAGAAGGGTAAAAAAAAATGCTTTCCGCCTGTAACTCCCTAAGCTGCCACCAGAGGGAGTTGGATTTGTTTAGCATCTTTTTTAGTCAGGGTTTGAGTCAAGCACATAAGTTCACCTGAGAAAGTAGCAAAACAAATGTATGGGAAATACTTCAGTTTGAAGTCTGAAAAGTGATGTCATAGCGGTACAATGACATCATACTATTATAGGACTGAGACAGGAGCTTTTAGACAGAAGGGGCGGAGTTACACCTTTGTGCCAGAGGTTCTTGATCTTAGAAAGTAAATACAACTTCAGGTCTGAGACTGATCAAGATCAATGTTTTAAAATGTTTAAAAAATATGATTATAAAAATCTAATCTAAACGTGTTGATGTTGTGGGTCATTGCAAGATACTAGGTTATTATTTACAATCTTGCATTTTCAGTTGAGACATGGTAAACGTGGCACCACCTGTGTGTGAAAGCCTGGTCCCGTCTACCACAGAAGCTAAGCAGGGTAGGGCCTGGTTAGTACTGTGACGGGAGACCTCTAAACACCACACGTCGCACACATTGCCTTGTAAGAGTCTGCTCTGTTTTAGTGGCCTCGCTTCTGTCAGTCTGCCCCGGGGCAAATGTGGTTACAGCAGTTTTCCACCACAGTGTCGATAGTGAGGGAATAATGCCACATGAAGCGTCTTTGGGAGGCATGAAGCGCTGTACAAGTACCAAGCATTATTATGTACTGTGATGATTTAGGATTCCAACTTTAATCTTGACGTTCTCGATAAGTAGAGCACTTTGAACCGCCCTGTGTTCAAGTGTGCTACAGTTGTGTTTGAGAGTTTACACACCCAGCCAGAGATTTAATCGTTTTGGTCATATTTTTCACTCATTGTTTGTGGTTGTGTGTGCTATGTATTGTCTAACAACAAACAAATTCTATTTTGAAAGATATAATTAATGAGACGCACTGGGGAGGGCTCAAAACTGCAGTTCGTGCAAGGGGACCCAGGAATTTACAGCAAATGGAGGCTTTGGAGAGAGACTGTGAGACCAGAGAGAGACAAAACAGAGACTAAGAAGAGACTAACGAGAGAGACCCGAAAAAGAGAGACCAACGAAAGACCAGAACAAGGGACGAGAAAGAGAGACCAGTGAGGATACAGAACCTCACCCACAGCTATCGCAAAAGACTCCAAGCTGTCAGAGATGTTTTGAGGGAAATGCATGCTGAAAACTGGGTGAGGAGACTTGTGATCACGGTCAGAAGAGGAATTTTGAACATCCAAAACACAAAATATTTTCAAATATAATTATCATTATTCATAATGTCTAAAATAAGGCCAGAAAATCTAAATGTCTCCCTGGGTGTGTAAACTTTCAAGCTTGACTGTATACAAATAAACTAGCCTTAGCTGTGGCTGCATCTTATTTTAACCATTGCTTGAAAACAGTGTCAACCTTATGCAATAAAACAAACACAATAGAAGATAATGTTGTCGTTTTCAGCTGCTGTTGGACGCCTGGTTTTCGTCCAATTGCGGCCAGGCGGGGACCTGTATCCGGGGCAGAGTTCCCTCCATGAGCCTCTCCATCCACAGACCGAGTCTGTCCAGTTTGTGATGCAGCTCGATGCTGGTGGCTCGTCCGGACCCTCGCTTGGTCTCCTCGCGGGAATGAGAGCGTGACCTGGAGGTGGAGCGCGACCGAGAGCGCGACCGGGACTTCCGGGAGCAGACGGAGGAGTCACTGAGGCCGTCCGCGGACTCGTCTCCTGTGAAGACCGGTCTGAAGAGGCAGAAGTAGCGTCGGTGTCCGTTCAGCGCCAGGACGTGTCCCGGGAGGTCGGAGGAGTCCTCGTCCAGCTGCAGGTCGGGGCAGCGGGCCGAGCGCAGAAGGGCAGGCATCCAGCGCCGGTGTTTGTCCGCGTTCAGAAAGGAGAAGTGCAGCGTCTGGGTGCTGAGGGGAGGTGGTCCGGGTTAAACACACTTCTGCACATTTCCTAACAGTGGGCGAGTTTACAGAGTGCTCTAAACAACTGGTCTCTAGTTGGTGTTGTTCCCAAACTACTCTGCCCACTCTCGTCCAGGTCTGGTCCCTACATGCAGGGAGCTAATCAGATGGAGTCTTGTGACCTCAAAACTTAGATTCTCACTTTGGAACAGTAACTGTAAATACAATGTCTCTCATATAGTACACTGTATAACTTTTTTTTGCCAGGGGAGTTTTTCAAAAATCCTTTACTTTGATAATTTGATTTTCAAACAGGCTCAACTGCAGCAGCACAAGTCGGTTCCTGAGTGCATATATTTGTACGCCTTGTATCAGTAAAGTTCCTCGTACGCACTTTTTCAGGATGAGTGTGTGTTTGAGAGCGGGACTGTGGGACAACAGATGCAAATTAGCTCAAAGCTACAATCTGGTGAGGTTAGTTCTATCCCAACCAAAAAATAAATAAATGAAAAAAATAAACAGTAGAAATGGTTCGATCCAGTTACACCAAACAGACTGATTTTTCACAACTCAATCAGAGCGCACAGGTTTACATCAGTCTTGTTCAATTGGATCCAGAGAGTCCGGTTCTCACTAGTGTCAAATAAACCTCTGTTCTTTAGCAGTGAGGGAATCAATACGACACATGTCGTCCAAAAGTACAAATTTAAAATCTAATGTTTTTACCCGGAGAAGGAGAAGACTTCTTTGGCGAACTTCCGGAGCAGTACGTTCTTGCTGGAGTCAGACAGAACCAGGACCACGTTGATGTGTCCGGGACGCAGTCGCACCAGGTTACTGACGTATGTGACGTCCGTGAGCTCCGTCACCTCCACAAAGTCTTTCTTAGGAGGACGACTGTAGACAGAGAGTTACGTTTACACACACTTAATGACTGATCTATCTATATGACTGATCTATATGACTGACTGATCTATATGACTGACTGATCTATATGACTGACTGATCTATATGACTGATTGATCTATGTGACTGATCTATGTGACTGATCTTGTGACTGATCTATATGACTGATCTATATGACTGATCTATATGACTGATCTATATGACTGATCTATATGACTGACTGATCTATATGACTGACTGATCTATATGACTGATTGATCTATGTGACTGATCTATATGACTGACTGATCTATATGACTGATCTATATGACTGACTGATCTATATGACTGATTGATCTATGTGACTGATCTATGTGACTGATCTATATGACTGACTGATCTATATGACTGACTGATCTATATGACTGACTGATCTATGTGACTGATCTATATGACTGATCTATGTGACTGATCTATATGACTGATCTATATGACTGATCTATATGACTGATTGATCTATGTGACTGATCTATGTGACTGATCTATATGACTGATCTATATGACTGATCTATATGACTGATCTATATGACTGATCTATATCAGTGTTTTTCAACCTTTTTTGAGCCAAGGCACACTTTTTTCACTGAAAAAATCTTGCGGCACACCTCCAGGAGAAAACGTAAAAATGTATACAGTACTAATGTAAAAATATATACTGTACATACTCTGTGTGATATATAAAGTATATCTTATCTTATCTTATAATGTATACAGTATACTCTGTAGCCTATATTCACAATATACAGTTATTCTCATCAAAATGCTTAAGTCCAGGCCTTGATATTAAGCTTTATTTAATATTTCTCGATACAATTAGCAAGAGTTTGGGAATAAAGTGGCACTAACTGTGTGGAAAAAAACTAAGAAAATCCACTCTCTGCCCAAATAGTCAAATAATAACTCACACAAAGAACATGCATTGTTAGTGCATGGGAAACATTTTGGTATCCGAGCTTTAAATTCAGGAGTTTTGGATGAGGGACACGGGAGGTCCTGAACGCGAGTCCATGGTTCTGTCCGGTCCGCATGTCTGTGGTTCTGTCCACTCGATTATGGTCTGCGCTCGGTACCCAGTTCAGAAGTGCGTTCGCGAGAGCTGTTGTACAAAAATTGTACATTTCATAGTTAAACCACTACAACGCGGCCACAGCTGCCCCGGGGCAGAGCGGAGGATGTTAATCCTGTTCAGAAACGGCATAATTCATTTTCAAAAACGTCTCTATCACTTTCACTTCTCACTCGCCACAAAGCTCTTGTCTCGCTCCCTCCCACATTTGTTGGTCGCATCCAATTTTACCTTTTTCGCCACAATGCTGACCTGTTACAGCCAGTGGTCGCATCCAATTTTTCAGTTTCAAAGTACTTAGCTATCTGCTGCCATCTACTGATTTGAAAAAGTATTACATGGTTACTCCACAGTTCAAAACAAGTCACTGCTCGTCAACAGCGAATGCAGTTATTTTTAGACAAAGTAGACGAATTTCTCACGGCACACCAGACAATATCATACGGCACAGTGGTTGAAAAACACTGATCTATATGACTGATCTATATGACTGATTGATCTATGTGACTGATCTATGTGACTGATCTATATGACTGACTGATCTATATGACTGATTGATCTATGTGACTGATCTATGTGACTGATCTATGTGACTGATCTATATGACTGATCTATGTGACTGATCTATGTGACTGATCTATGTGACTGATCTATATGACTGATCTATATGACTGATCTATATGACTGATCTATATGACTGATCTATATGACTGATCTATATGACTGATCTATGTGACTGATCTATGTGACTGGTCTATATGACTGACTGATCTATGTGACTGATCTATGTGACTGATCTATGTGACTGATCTATGTGACTGATCTATATGACTGATCTATATGACTGATCTATATGACTGATCTATATGACTGATCTATATGACTGATCTATATGACTGATCTATATGACTGATCTATATGACTGATCTATGTGACTGATCTATATGACTGATCTATATGACTGACTGATCTATGTGACTGATCTATGTGACTGATCTATATGACTGACTGATCTATGTGACTGATCTATATGACTGATCTATATGACTGATCTATATGACTGATCTATATGACTGATCTATATGACTGATCTATATGACTGATCTATATGACTGATCTATATGACTGATCTATATGACTGATCTATGTGACTGATCTATGTGACTGATCTATATGACTGATCTATGTGACTGATCTATATGACTGACTGATCTATATGACTGATCTATATGACTGATCTATATGACTGATCTATATGACTGATCTATGACTGATCTATGTGACTGATCTATATGACTGATCTATATGACTGATCTATGTGACTGATCTATATGACTGATCTATATGACTGACTGATCTATGTGACTGATCTATGTGACTGATCTATGTGACTGATCTATGTGACTGATCTATGTGACTGATCTATATGACTGATCTATATGACTGATCTATGTGACTGATCTATATGACTGACTGATCTATATGACTGATCTATATGACTGATCTATATGACTGATCTATATGACTGATCTATATGACTGATCTATGTGACTGATCTATATGACTGATCTATATGACTGATCTATGTGACTGATCTATATGACTGACTGATCTATATGACTGATCTATATGACTGATCTATATGACTGATCTATATGACTGATCTATGACTGATCTATGTGACTGATCTATATGACTGATCTATATGACTGATCTATGTGACTGATCTATATGACTGACTGATCTATATGACTGATCTATATGACTGATCTATATGACTGATCTATATGACTGATCTATATGACTGATCTATGTGACTGATCTATATGACTGATCTATATGACTGACTGATCTATGTGACTGATCTATGTGACTGATCTATATGACTGACTGATCTATGTGACTGATCTATATGACTGATCTATATGACTGATCTATATGACTGATCTATATGACTGATCTATATGACTGATCTATATGACTGATCTATATGACTGATCTATATGACTGATCTATATGACTGATCTATATGACTGATCTATATGACTGATCTATATGACTGATCTATGTGACTGATCTATGTGACTGATCTATATGACTGATCTATGTGACTGATCTATATGACTGACTGATCTATATGACTGATCTATATGACTGATCTATATGACTGATCTATATGACTGATCTATGACTGATCTATGTGACTGATCTATATGACTGATCTATATGACTGATCTATGTGACTGATCTATATGACTGATCTATATGACTGACTGATCTATGTGACTGATCTATGTGACTGATCTATGTGACTGATCTATGTGACTGATCTATGTGACTGATCTATATGACTGATCTATATGACTGATCTATGTGACTGATCTATATGACTGACTGATCTATATGACTGATCTATATGACTGATCTATATGACTGATCTATATGACTGATCTATATGACTGATCTATGTGACTGATCTATGTGACTGATCTATATGACTGATCTATGTGACTGATCTATATGACTGACTGATCTATATGACTGATCTATATGACTGATCTATATGACTGATCTATATGACTGATCTATGACTGATCTATGTGACTGATCTATATGACTGATCTATATGACTGATCTATGTGACTGATCTATATGACTGACTGATCTATGTGACTGATCTATATGACTGATCTATATGACTGACTGATCTATGTGACTGATCTATATGACTGATCTATATGACTGATCTATATGACTGATCTATATGACTGACTGATCTATGTGACTGATCTATATGACTGATCTATATGACTGACTGATCTATGTGACTGATCTATGTGACTGATCTATATGACTGATCTATATGACTGATCTATATGACTGATCTATATGACTGATCTATGTGACTGATCTATATGACTGATCTATATGACTGATCTATATGACTGATCTATATGACTGATCTATATGACTGATCTATATGACTGATCTATGTGACTGATCTATATGACTGACTGATCTATGTGACTGATCTATATGACTGATCTATATGACTGATCTATGTGACTGATCTATATGACTGATCTATATGACTGATCTATATGACTGATCTATATGACTGATCTATATGACTGATCTATGTGACTGATCTATATGACTGATCTATATGACTGACTGATCTATGTGACTGATCTATATGACTGATCTATATGACTGACTGATCTATGTGACTGATCTATATGACTGATCTATATGACTGATCTATATGACTGATCTATATGACTGATCTATATGACTGATCTATATGACTGATCTATATGACTGATCTATGTGACTGATCTATGTGACTGATCTATATGACTGATCTATGTGACTGATCTATATGACTGACTGATCTATATGACTGATCTATATGACTGATCTATATGACTGATCTATATGACTGACTGATCTATGTGACTGATCTATATGACTGATCTATATGACTGATCTATATGACTGATCTATATGACTGATCTATATGACTGATCTATATGACTGATCTATATGACTGATCTATGTGACTGATCTATGTGACTGATCTATATGACTGATCTATGACTGATCTATGTGACTGATCTATATGACTGATCTATATGACTGATCTATGTGACTGATCTATATGACTGATCTATATGACTGACTGATCTATGTGACTGATCTATGTGACTGATCTATGTGACTGATCTATGTGACTGATCTATATGACTGATCTATATGACTGATCTATATGACTGATCTATGTGACTGATCTATATGACTGACTGATCTATATGACTGATCTATATGACTGACTGATCTATGTGACTGATCTATATGACTGATCTATATGACTGATCTATATGACTGATCTATATGACTGATCTATATGACTGACTGATCTATGTGACTGATCTATATGACTGATCTATATGACTGACTGATCTATGTGACTGATCTATATGACTGATCTATATGACTGATCTATATGACTGATCTATGTGACTGATCTATGTGACTGATCTATATGACTGATCTATATGACTGATCTATGTGACTGATCTATATGACTGATCTATATGACTGATCTATATGACTGACTGATCTATGTGACTGATCTATGTGACTGATCTATGTGACTGATCTATGTGACTGATCTATGTGACTGATCTATGTGACTGATCTATGTGACTGATCTATATGACTGATCTATATGACTGATCTATGTGACTGATCTATATGACTGACTGATCTATGTGACTGATCTATATGACTGATCTATATGACTGATCTATATGACTGATCTATATGACTGACTGATCTATGTGACTGATCTATATGACTGATCTATATGACTGATCTATATGACTGACTGATCTATGTGACTGATCTATATGACTGATCTATATGACTGATCTATATGACTGATCTATGTGACTGATCTATATGACTGACTGATCTATGTGACTGATCTATGTGACTGATCTATGTGACTGATCTATATGACTGACTGATCTATGCGACTGATCTATGTGACTGATCTATGTGACTGATCTATATGACTGATCTATATGACTGACTGATCTATATGACTGATCTATGTGACTGATCTATATGACTGATCTATATGACTGATCTATATGACTGATCTATATGACTGATCTATATGACTGATCTATATGACTGACTGATCTATATGACTGATCTATGTGACTGATCTATGTGACTGATCTATATGACTGATCTATATGACTGACTGATCTATATGACTGATCTATGGTGGGTTTCATATAATTGTACTTATTTATATGTGGTTTTATTTCGCCGCTGCTACATAAAGGAGGATGTAAATAATAAAGTAGTTTTCTGTTGCCTCCTGCAGCAGTATTCAGACCTGGAGGTTCCGCCTCGGTCCTCCGTCTGCTCCGGCGACGGTGGAGGCTCTTTGGCTTTGGGTTTCTGAGGCTTGTTCTCTCCAGGTTCACTGTGAGGAAGACACAGCACGTTACATCAACAATACTAACTTTGAAAAAATATATTTCTGCATTTTTATATATTAAATTGAACAATATTAAAATAACTTAAGTGATTGTTCTGTGGCACTTTGAACATGTGCTGAGCTACAGGAAAAAGGACTTTAAAAATAAATATTACACATTTGTGCTAATCTTGTCCCATACACATACACTAATAAGTACTTTAGTCTTCCCTGTTTTAGTGATAGAAGAGGGAATTTGTGTATCAACATTTAACATGGTACCATGTGTTTGAAGTCACAAAATGAATGAGATTTGGACTGGAAAATAAATCTATAAATCTATAAACCAATACAACAAAAAAAGACACAAAAAAGTATTTGGACAGATGGGTGTGCCACAAGTTCCTGATGGCAGCGTGAATGTAGCTAAAAACAACTTCAGTTCTGTTTTTGATGAGGAACAATCTTGGATCATGGTTAAACACTATATTTTACATGATAAATGTGGTGTGTCCTCAAATGAATTGTAATGTTATAGTGACGGTTTAAAAAGTTAAGAAAGTTCGACTGACCTGAAGGCCTGGATGATGACCGTGCCGAACAGAATGAAGAGAGCAGAGAAAATCAGAGACAGGATCGGCATCATCTCCCTCCTGCAGCAAAAGGACAACACAAATTATGACTTTAAGAATTTAACATTTAACCATTTGGATTCAACATCAGTTAAGCAGCAGTTATCTCAGTTACAGCTACAAACTGAGATACTGTACAAGGCCTCTTCAAGTATTAAAATAATTATGGGATTATTTGACCTTTGTACTTGTTTCACCGTCTATTTTCTACAAGATATTATTTCACATTCTAAAGCATGGAATGACAAAGTAAACCCTCTCATTATAAAGTTTAATGGCCAAAAAGAATGTCTAATATTTCTTCAGTATTAAGACAGAAAGGGCCGAGGCGGGTTGCTGATATTATGGGATGGATGGAGCTCCGATGAACAATTCCTGGAGCCTCATTTAAATGAAGAAAAGAAGGAAAAGGTGAGCACCAAGAAATGTTGTATTTTAATTGTTTGGTTTTTTATAACTCGTCTTATAATTTCAGTTGTTTTTGTACTTTTACATTATGGGAGTATTTTTCAAAATGATACTTTTATTGAAAATGATTTGGATATTCTTTGGTAGATTCAGTGTTACTTAGATTGAAACACATCTGGATTAAAGGAAAAGCAGAAGAAAAAGGGCTCTTCAAGTATTAACATAAATATAAGTACAAGCTCTCAGCAAAAGGATGAAAACATTAAATGTCTTAATTACTGATAAAACCAGTTACCTTTCAGAAAAAAAATGGAAAGTAAATGCATGAATGAATGCATTTGTGTAGTTTTGGTCTCACCAGTTTGAGTAGAGCAGGTCGTCGTATACTTGAATGAAGTAATCATAAGCAGCGTTAAACCAGCGGATTAAAAACATCTGAAATGAGAAACACAAAACAGTTTGAGCTCATTTGAATTATCCGAGTCCATCCACTGCAACATTTTTAAATTGTTGGAACATGCTTATTTTAAACACAGCGTTTGTCTTGTATAGTTTGAATGAGTTCAATATTTACTACAAAGAGGAGGATGAACGGCTGTTATGGGAGTGTTCTGTAAATCCTCACTCTGGGATCAACAGAACCACGTCCACGTAATTCTGATCAATAATTACACAAATAGGGCGGTGCTCATAATCTTTTTGCTTCAGCCCACTCCTTTTGTGCCGTATTATTACTACTGTTAAAAATAAATAACTAAATAAAAACAGGGCATACATTTTTTTGGGGCGAGAAATATGACCCTTTATTGTCATCGCAGTGATTTGTTGAGAAGTAAATTTGAAAAAGGTTTGCACGTAAGCTCCAGGGGGAAGCTCCGCTCTATCAGCTGCTACGCAGGGTGATGCATTTCTTCCGTTCCTTTAAAACTTGACACCTCTGAGGACTTTCGAGACACCGCGCTAACCCAGCAATACTGTGCATAGATGGACAATGTGAACTTGCTCTGGCTCCTATTGATTTACATTGAAAAGTAAACTCCTAGCTCAGAAAACGTTTGTTTAGCAACGACAACACGTCGCTCCCTGTTACAGCACAAAGCTAAAGCCACAGAACAAATGCCCATATATTATTTATGAGCTCAATTATAAAGGCCTCTTCGGCATTAAGGCAAACACTATGGAAGACGTCCTCTGGTCTCACCGGAGCCATCTCGTTGTTGAGCTGTGGCAGCGTGGCGTCGGTGCTCAGGTAGGACGGATCCTTCTGCAGCAGATCAATCTCTGTGTGGAGCCTGAACTTGTCGTCGTCGCTGCCGTTCCATCCTCCGCTGAGCAAGCGGAACAGCACCTTCCCCGCCTGCGTGCGCCGCTCCAGGATCACCACCTGAGGACACACAGTTCAGACAAGAGCGTCACGAGGCCGTTCTGCTGTAACAGGAGGAGCCGAGTGTCGGGAAATCCAAGATGTGATACACAAAAAATAGGTTTAAAGCAATTCAGATCTATGCAGCTAAATATGGAACAGTCTTCCTGAGGTTGAGAGACAGGCCTCTACCCTGACCATGTTCAAAACCCGATTATTGGTAGGTGCTATTTTATTTTTTTTATTTTTCCTTTTTAAAGATCTAGAGATCCTTTATTCGTCCCACAGTGGGGAAACAAGTATAGGATCTCTTAATCTTAAAACTCTCATCAGAATAATACAAATGTCAAAGCTAATTAAAAAAGCTTTGACATTTTGATCTGGTGAGATGGTTTCCCCTCCTTCCCCCCCCTGCAGTGAGTCGTTAGCCAGTCCCACAGTGTTTGATGGTTGCTTTGTGTCACTGTGTTCAAACCTGTGGAGACAGTGCAGCCTGGTTCCGGAGCAGGGCGAGGCACAGCGGCTGCTGGTGACGCTGGTAAACGTACGCGAAGCGAAGAATCTCCTTCTTATTAGCCACCGCAAACTCCATGAAGGCTTTGTTCCCTGCGACAAAGTCCTGCTCCGTGATCAGCAGAACACAAAACCTGAAGGCAGATGGGAAATATACACATACAGCATTACTAAACAAATAAGGCTATAATAGGAGTGAGAGAAACCATCATTGTGGTCTTTGCTTCAGGGCACGTTCACGCTCATCAGTAATGAGAAGATAATCCTCATCTGTCCTCATAACAGATCCACAACATAAGAAGTGAACAGAGGGAGTAGTAGACCACTCTTTACGAATGAAGCGTAATGAGATTCACATGAACGAGCCACTGTGAAAGCGCCCTGAGTATTTCTGTGTAACAATGTCTGTCTGCAAATGTCTTACTTTTATTAATCATTTATCATTTATCTGCATTTAATTCAGAGTTCTCTGCATTGGTAGTATATAATTCCAATATTAAAATTATATATATACATATATTCGAAACTAATATTAGACAGCCCTTAATATTTGAAGCTGTAATGGGCATTATGTTTTTTAAATGATATATGTATATGTATATATATAAAATAGTTAGTTCCCAAAGGTTGCACCGTGATGTGGCTAGGCTAGTAACAGCTATGCTAGTAACAACTACGCTAGCTAACTAGAACTACATGAAAACTTAACAAAGAATTCTGAACATCAGTGGTGAGTTACCCATTTATACACCGAACCTAAATCCATATTCAGATCCTCTTCAAATGTGTCCTAAAATGTTCCACTAATGTTAATAGTTACTTCCAAGTTTTTCGCGATCGTTTTTGGTCACATTAAAACAGTATTTTTGTCATGAAAACGTTTACAGATCATTCAGAAAACCTCTGTGCATGTGTGTTAAGAATGTATTCTCCCATTAACATTTAAATGTGTTGATTGATTGATATTTGTGTTATTGAGCATGGCTAGTCTCCGATAGCTTCCCTGCACCGACAGAAGTAGTGACATATTCGAATATATTTGAATATTTAAATAAATAAACAAACAAACTTCGAAAGCCCTAATTGGTAGTGTTGAAGTCGTACTTGCGGCGGCGGTGGAACTGCTTGATGGGACAGAGCTCGTCAAACAGCTGCTGGTTCACGAGACGAGGAACCTGGAGGAACTTATTATTGGAGACAAACTCGTCCATGATCTGCTTCTTCATCCCACGAGCCTGAAGCACAGAGGGGGGACAGGAGCGGCAGTTATGGAAATTGCTAAAAGCCATTATTATTTATCATTATCACTATTATTATTTTTATGGATAATACACTGCTTTTATCATCAGTGAAGTACTTTTTGTTTCACCCTGAATTTGACTTTGCCTGGACAGAGCCTCAGTTGAGTTCAGTTGTGCTTGGATTGAAACAGAACTGGATAAACATGGCTGAATACTGTCATCTATTTCAAAACGTTATAAATCAGTAATTGAAAAAACATAGAATTGTAGGAAAACTGGATATTGTATTTCAGATGGAGAAACTGACTCTCTCAAAGATATGGTCAAAGTGGAGTTTATGCATTAACACACTACAACAATTGGAAGTGTTGAAAATTGATGATTTGTGACTGAGATGTTGATTTTGTACGTAGTTTTTGTCATCAGTGCATTCTATCCTGATATAAAAATGCATCCCTTGACGTTTGTTAAAAGAAAGTAAAAAAAAAAATTGAGAATGGATGAAACTGAATATATCTAACAACTATATTTTGTCTTAAAAAAAAAAGAAAAACACAAACTTGTAGCAATATGTAAATTTTAGGGCTGTCAAACAATTTTTTGTTGTTGTTGATTAATCGCATAGTAATGGTGAGTTAACTCATGATTAATTGCATTTTTAACATTCTATTTCAAATCCACTCCAATTGAAGTTAAATGAGATTATCAAATGTCATTCAGACCAAATGTACTTAAGTCTGTTTGATTTGCTCATAACATTTTACTTTGGGCACAACCAAAATGAGCTGTTAATGAAAGGGAAAATTTACGTACCACAACTTTAATTTAGCAAGTTTTGTTGCGTATCAGTAGGAGACAAGGACACTTCCTGAGGCTCCATAGTTCAGCTTCAGAGGCGTATTTTCATGCACAGGTTACCCACAGGTTACGCAAAGACACGCACACAACATGCAGAGAATAGTTCTGTGGTGTATGGTCTTGGATCACGTTACCGCAGCGCCATTCGCTGTGTTGTTGTTAGCGGCTCACAGCCACTGGAGGTGGGAAAAGCTGTCCAGAGCGGCCGCAGCTGCCCCGGGTCAGAACGCTGCGGCCACGGAGGAGGCGAACTTCAGTTCATAGTAAACAACAGCAAGTGCCCCACGGTCACGCAAGTGTTCTTTTAAAACTGGAATTCCCTGAGACCTGCTCTGTCGCCATCTCACACACGTATGTGTCCGTGGCATTCTGAGTAATATTATGGGATACATGGGCGGGTCATTCGGACATGCGTTAAACGTGCAAAAAAAAAAATAGCGCGATTAATGAAACATTTAAATAACCTGAGTTAACGCGATCATTTTGACAGCCCTAGTCAACTTATAGTTATTAATTTCGAGCCATTTGGTTTTAGTCACCAAAAGTCACTGTTTACTATGACAAACATTTGAACATTGAACGGTTGTGTTGGTTTGGTCACCTGTATGATGTCCACCGGATTCTGCGTGTCTTCTTTGAACAGCAGCAGAGTGGGAGCATAGGTGTTCACGTTGAACTGACGCAGCAGACGAGTGTTCTGCGTCCCTCCCTGATCCACGTAACCAAAGCGCACATAGTCTCTGAAGGAGAACGCAGCCAGCTGGAAACAGAACAAACAAAAACATATTAGTCATTTGACCTGAGAGCAGGTATGTACTGTAGCTGCTCATTTTGTCCCTTAAACATGATCTTGAGAATCACTCGAGACAACTCTGTTGGGCTGTGTGGCTGCAGGTTTTCATTCCAATAAAGCAGAAGCCCATTGATCTCTTTGAGTTGAAGGCCCCTGGCATACAGTTATGAATTTTGTATTTTGAGATTAGTGCACATTTATGTTGTGTGTCTTCACAAACTTCACTTTTCAGGAACAAGTTTGAAAAGGTGACTGTGAAATAAATATGTCCAGAGGAGGGCGCTGTGTGCAGATTTTTTGGGGGAAGTTTCTGGACCTATGCAGCTACAGTTGCTCGTCCACTCGCGCGTTCCCTTTGCAGTTTTGAAGAGAATGGTGTAATCCCACACCCAACCACATGATGGCGATCTCACATGAGTTGCCTGGGAAACCAAAGCGGTCCCATTTACGCTGCATTTACTTTCTCCTCTTCAGAACAAAAACATTAGCAAACCAAACTGTTTGAGTTTATTACATGTGTATCTAGTGTAGGTTTATGTGATAGTTCTATGGACTCATTATATATAAGTCACTTCAACTGTGATGCTGTGAATAAAGTTCTTGTTGGAAACAGTATTTTCTAAATTGTATTCAGCACAAACAGCCAAACAATAAGTGATACATATCCGAGACCAAACATAAACGATTTAAGTGCAGGAGGAATGCAACAGAACAGTGCAAAAGAAACGACTGTACAGTTTATAAGTTGAATATGCAACAGAACTGAACAGTCCACAGTCTCCGTGTATATCAGGCTCTGAGCCATGAACCCAAACAAACCTATCTGGTCCGAAGTTCCCGGTCCATGCTCCCTGCAGCAGCTCCATGCTTCCGTCCAAAACACACACACGGACCAATCACAGTGGAGCTTCTCTGCTCTGGCTACGTAGTTGGACATTTTCGAGGGGGCGCGGCAAGCTACCAAGGGTCTTGCGGTAATCCTTGCGTTGCGCAAGTGGCGTCACGTCACCACCGTGAGCTACGCGCCGCGCGACTATACACTAGGCTTTAGGAGCAGTGAGGACAAGGAAGATCTGGGAAGGTAGTATTTTTTTTCATATTCGGACAGAGGAAAAGACTGAGATTTGGAGACAGACAGACACTGTAGTCATGTACCTTATAAAGCAGAGGAACCACAGGGACCTGGTCGAACAGCAGCACACTGGGTTTGTTCTCCTCCTGCCAGGCATCCAGGAACGACTCGTAGTTACTGTCCGAGATCTGCACAGAAGACGAGAGCCGGTTAACACTAGAAAACCCAACCGAAATTGGCCCCTGTTTTGAGAAGAGGGAGCTAACTTGCTAGGTTGGCTGCTAACATTTGCATGTATTGATTTGCAAATGTAGGTAATGACTTATAACAGCAGGGGGCTGGGGTGGGCTTTGTTTATTCGTGCGGGGGAGGGAGAGCTGCAAGAGAGTACTACAGTAGTCTGTGAGACCACAGATACACATGTGCTGTGTACCCTGAGAATGCGCTGTATATATTTTGTAATCAGTTTTTCTCAGTGTCTTTGGTGCATTTTTCACATAATTCTTCACATTTTAACAACAGTTAGTGCATTTCTCAGAACAATGAGTGCAAACTGCAAAACCTCATGGATAACCTGCTAAAAAGTCACTTTCTCAAAATGAACTTAATTCCTCAAAAGAAAGTCTTCATGTCAATGAAACGGTCTGTGTCTCAAAAGAATAAGTCCTGACATCAGTGTTTATGAACAACAGTCAAATGATTTAGTCATGTTTTCATTGTGACTGTATTTAGTGATACATATGTATGTACTGTATGTTCACATATTTACTGCTTATGCTCTTTGCAATTCTACAGCATTCTGCAACAAAAATAGTACACATACAGTATTTACGTAGAAAAACATACAAAAAATCATTACGGTAGAACCTCCACAACATTGAGTCGTGTGTGACATCATCGCGGCAGTTTCTCCTTTGAACACTTTACAAATGCTTTTGGACATGTGTTAGGATTAGATCAGTTACTTTCATACAGTTCTCTGCTGTTTTATAACATTATCATTTGCTTCTGCCCTGTCAATCAGAATGAAACATACTTTTCACGACTGAATAGTTTCTGTAAAACCAGTAGTCCTCATTTCATCGCTTTGGTCATCACATACAAAACTGTTCAAAACCAAAATCTGTCAAACTAATTTCATACATTACTTTATCTTTTTATATCCAGAAAATCTTTCCTAATTTTGATTTTCAGCTTCACTCATGACGAGGTGTGTGTTTTATTGTTTACATTTGTCACAGTTCTACCATAATGATATTCTGTATGTTTGCTCTATGTATGTGACTGTATTTCTGTTGCACAATGCTGTAGAATTGCAAAGAGCATATGCAGTAAATATGTGAAAGACATACAGTACACAGACATACATCGAAACACATACATGCACAAACACACACACACAGTAAATACATACATGCACAAACACACACACACATACAGTACATACAGTATAAATGTTCTTTTACTCTCACTAAATACAGTTGTGTGTAACTTTACTGTAGTTTTCAGCTGTACAGTGCTCATCAAGATCAGATTTTTTGCTTTGAAAACACAGAGAGTAAAGTGTCACAATGAAAACGTGACGAAGTCATTTGACTGTGTTGTTCATACTCCATGTTGTTAAGACTTATTATTTTGAGACAGACAGTTTCCTCGACATGAAGACTTGCTTTTGAGGAATAAACTTTTCATTTTGAGAAGGTGATGCACTTTTGCAGGTTATCCCCAAGGTTTTGCAGTTTGTACTAATTGTTCTGATAAATGCACTAGCTGTCGTGCAAATGTGAATAATTATGTGATAAATGCACCAAAGACACTGAGAAAAACTAAGTAGCATATTTATTTTGTAAACAATGTAAATGTATACATTGAATGACGTTGCTCGTTTGTTTTCTTTCAATTCACTTTATTATTTTCATTATTATTTTTTAACTAAAGTCAGCATGACACTAGATTTAACTCATTTTAACTCAGATCCTCCCTCTCCCGAAGAAGACAAAGTAAAGTGTTTGAGCAACTTCAGCTCAGCCTGTGATAATGGCCTTATTTACATAACAAAGTTGGCCGTTCACAGGTGATTTAGTTTGTTAGCTAAAATCCTTGGAGTCATTTGGCACCGTGGTGGGCTTTTTAGGTAGAAGTGCCAAATGGCACCTCCATGGGTTTGCTAGTGTTAAGGTTATTGGTCAATTTCAATAATTGACATGCATTGAAATTCAAATACAACAATCACGTCTCACGTCCTATTAGCCACCAGCAGCTAGCTAACATGCTCTACAAAGTCTGCTGCTTATTCTGCATTTGTCTACAGAAGGCCAGACTACTGTAACGGCTGCTCACTGATTTTTCCAAACGAGCTATAAAACAGCTGCAGTATATATTAAAAATTCTGCAACTTGAGTCCTGACAAGAACCAGGAAGTACCATCACAATAGTCCAGTTCTCAGATCTCTGCACTGGCTTACTGTGGCTTAGAGAATAGACTTTAAAGCAGCTCTGTACAATTACAAGTATAATTAAAGAATTAAACATTCTTTCTGAAAATGTGAGACAGGCTTTAAAAACAGTTCTGTTTCGCTGCAGGATTTTTTTCTACTACTGTGATTACTTAAGAATACTTTGTGTGATTTTGTTTCTTGTTTTGTTAAGCACTTGCTGTTGCCTTGTGTATGAACTGTAAAATTAACCCTTGTGCAGGTTAAAATGACCCACCACAGAAAATACCCTAAATTAGGGTCTAAAAGGGTCTACATCAGGAAGTCAGAAAAAATCATCAAATTTCAACTGTGGCGGGTCAATTTGACTCGTGGATAGCACTTGTCTGCCTTTCTGTACAATCCCTCATCTCATCTCTGACACGTCTCTGATAAAACAGGACACCTCCCTTTACCTTGTGAACGAGTTTACTGGGCAGCAGGTCCTCGATGAACTGGCGCAAGTGCTCGCGGACCACGGCCTGATGGAAGAAGGACACGCGGCCGTTGATGAGGCCGATGATGGAGGGCGCACGGTGAGCTCCGAGCTGCGAGGACAGACGGCGCTCGTACCCGAGGTCGATGATGCCGATGCCCACACCTGCCGTTACCAAGAAAAGAACAGACTGGTTTGAGCAGGAGACAAAACAGTGGTGACAAAATCCCGATATTGGCATGATCTTAATCTGAAGCAGGACTAGAAATAGTGTTTGTGAATAGGAAAAGAAAAGGGGTCATGTATTCATTTCAAAACCTGAACAAAACAGCACAAAGCAACAACAACCACAAATGACAAGACAGATTTGAAAAAGGGTTGGAGGAAGCAAACACTCAAACATTTCAAAACCCTCGTCACACATACAAGATTTAGAACAAACATTTCAAACAGACAATGACAATGCTTCTTTTTACTGCAGAGCCATGAATGAATAATTGATTATTAGAGCGAGTTCGACCACTCAGCGTCTAAAGGCCGACAACTGAACATATACATCACTCATTGTTAGCGGTTTTTGAAGCCATTTGGCGTCAAATTACATGTTTATTATTTTCAAATAAAAATGACAACAGAACCTCCTCTTCAAACCATGTTCTTTGGATTATATTGTTTGTGATCACTATTACTTCATACGCATGTAGATAATGATTATATAAAGGGGTCATAGTTTAGAGACAGAAATCAGGTCTCAACCGACCAGAGTCAGGACTAAACATGGAGGCAGCGTTTCTGATTCATACAGCTAAAATTTGGAACAGTCTTCCTGAAAATGTGAGACAGACAGGCTTCTACTTTGACAATATTCAAATCCAGGTTAAAAACAGCTCTGTTTAGCTGTGCATACCACCGAAGGATTGAATGAACTGTGATTATTTATGATTTGAATGCCTTGTGCGATTGTTTCTATCTTTAGCCTTTGCTTGAAAATTTGGCGCTGGTTAAATCACAGCATCGGGCCCCAACACTCAGAAAGTGCTGGCCAGAACCCAGATCTTGATGAATGGACACATGATGCACTCACCCAGCGGCTCCAGCTCCTCCACCGTCTCCTTCCACACGGGTTCAATGTGCACACAGGCGAAACACCACTCTGACGTCACTTTGATCAGATATGGCCTCCGGAAACTGTCCGGGAGAACCTCACTGTTGAACTGAGCGTGATGCAGCAGATATTTACTGTCGGCAAACTCACGAGAGCTACGGGAGGGAAAAGAGAAGAAACTGATTATTAACACAGAACAGAGCAGTGGGATGAGCAGCGCTATGGGCAAGAGAGGTGGGAGAGAGTAATGCAATGTTATGTTGCTAAAATAACTCATTATTAAAGCTGGGGTACCTACATTTCGCACCACTAGTAATGGAAATATGAAATAAAATCCATTGCACTAGTTTCTGGCTATAAAACAGTTTCTTTCCATCCCTAGTTTTCACATTCGTGTATTTTTTGGCAGCCCAAGTGTCAAATAGAGACTCACACATGACTCTTTTGGTTTTATTGATAAATTGGCATATTATCAAAATCTTCCAAAGTAAATATTCTCAAGATCAGGTTCAAGGGCCTTAAAAATAAACACTAATAATAATTGTTCTTTGAAGCCTTATTGTTACCGTGGGAACTGGAAGAAGGACTCGTCGAAGTAGAAGCTGTGGTGGAAGCTCCTGAAGCCTGGGTGCTGCGACTGTCCGAACGGCTGGTTCTCGTCCATCTGTCCGTAACGGTCAAAGTTTGCCCTGCGCTCCTCATTGGACAGAATCTGGAACCACAAAATACATTTGCATTTACATTAGGGCTGGGAAAACAACATTTGATATTCAAAAATAATTCAAGAATAACTAAAAAAGAATGACATTCGAACAAATATTAGAGAGCACTTAATATTCAAAAATTAAACTGGCCTGATATTTGTGTGTATTAGCAGCAAATGTTGATTTTTCGCTTCAATCACAGACTTAGAAAATGCTTAGATAAATGATCCTGTTTTATAACTGAATATTGTTTTTATCCGTACGACAGTTATTACACACAAAAGTGAGGACGGCAACTAATTACCTGCATGCACTGCTCTCTGGTAGAGAATACAATATGCAAATATACTCAAATTATATTTGGAATTTTAATATTAATAAAACAATGACATTTGTTGGTTTTTGAGCTTAAGTCCCAGCCCTAATTTACATAAACTACAAAAAGAGAATACCAACAAGTTATAGAGGAGCGGTAGAGCACTGGTGCTTATTTTTTTCAGATTAATGCAACTAAACTCTTATGTAATGGACGCATAGTTGTTATTGTTGTCACCAGAACACAAATGTATGCACTCTGGAAGAAGTAGAGGAGGAGTGTAAATGACTGTTTCCGGTAATGTAAAAAGAACGTAAGGATACACGGAGTAATTGTCAACACATTACTAATTTTTTGGAGAAATAACAAAGGCAAATGTACATAAAACGAGTTCCGTTTAGGATTCCAACTAATCATATCGCATTTCTCTGTCACGTTTTGAAAACATATGGAGGCAATAACTTTAACTTTCTTACAATTGTCTGGTGTAGAAGAGCCACATAACGTAAACTGTTTATGTGCGGACGATAACCACGTGTTAATACCTCATAGGATTTTGAGATCTTGATAAACATGTCTTCAGCAGATGGATCCTTGTTCTTGTCTGGATGCCTGCAAAGAGCAAATCAAAAACACAGACAATTATTTCCATGTAAGTAGAAAAATACTCTGTAAAACTATTCATTTTTTAGGAACATAAAATTTAGTAGATCAAATAAACAAATGTATACATTTTGAAATAGCTATAATACAAATTATGACATTCAGATTGTGTTCTTATTTTTAATTTATAATCAGAGACAGATACTTTACACACATAAAGCTGGGGTAACTACATTTTTGCCTTAAATAATGTATAGCGTTTGTCGTAAAAGTAAAAGTAAAATCTTGTGAAGAAAGCAGACCACAACATGCAGTCTTCATCTTATTGGAAAACAAGTTATCTGACTTTTACATACTTATAGTTGTAAAGACAGAGAGCCCTGGTTGTCACTAGTTGACTTTTTGGGCTGAGAGCTGACAGGCAGAGTGAGGCCGGTTCTCTCTTTTTACATTTTCTGTCTGAAAAATCTGATCTGAAGATGTGACAGAGGCCAAAAACATATGAATGTTAAGACTAGTAATCGAACCAAACGATTTACAAATTAAATGGATTTTAGTACATTAATAGTTCTATGTTTGTGGTATAAAAAAAATAGGTAACCCAGCTTTAAATGTGATGTTATGATATAGCAAATTATCAAAGTAGATCATAGTATTGATAAATAGACAGATTACTCTTTATCCCCCATTTTAGCACTAATTGATGTATTGTAATGAATCAGTGACAATTGGCCTGGCACTCACCACTCCTTGGCCAGGCTCTTGTATGCCTTCTTCACTTCAGCCTGGCTCGCTTTCCTGCTCACACCTAAAATCTTGTACGGATCAAACTCAGCCGCCTCCACTTCGCACGGCCCCAAAACGAGCAAAAATACCACAAAATGCAGAGATAATGTCCATTGAAGTCGCGCTTGCCTCCTGTCTGCCATAGCTGCTCTGCGACGTTAGCAACAGCAGGAAGAAGCAGGAGAAACCAGGGCCAAACGCAATTACTTTTAGCTAATTGTTTCACTTACTCGTGTCGACATGTCCGCAATGACTGCACATGTGAGCTGTTTGTGTGCGCACGGATTGTCATGTTTGTGTTTGCAGATGCTAAAGGTGAATTTGAACCGCTAGCTACACAAGGCGAGACGGTGCATTAGTAAAGCGTGGAAATGCGGTTTCCGGTTTTTCAAAGTAAAATAAGAATAACTGTATTGTGCCAGTGACTGACTGACTGCACCACAATAAACAAAAACTAAGTACTACAGAACACTAAAAAGATCAAAAACATTAAAACATAAACTCCAAAAAACATAAGATTAATAATAACATAATTTCTGTTCTTGTTACAGTGTTCTTTATCTCAGTGCCCAGGCCTTCTCCACAAAGTGACCAAACAAATCATTTCATTTTAAAATAAACATTACATTTAACCTTCAGACAGCCAAAACAAATCAGGATGTTTGTGTGAATGACCTCAAACACATTATTTCTTAAAAAATAAAATAAATCCAACAAAAATGAATTACATTTTCAACCACACATTAGTCACGCACAGTACAGATGTATGTAATGTGTGTGTCTATAATGTTACCACTAAAAAGATAAAAGATTTTTAAAAGTCCTGTAATAAAATATTTTCCATCTGCAGTAAATGAAGACTTCCAACATTTCAACATTGTGGTGAAGTAAACTTATTTATTAGTATCACAAGTTACTAGTATATTCATGAGCAATTTGCAGTATTAACTAGAAACTTGCAATGGCTGAAGCCATTGCGATTGACTGCGGAACAGATCTAATGTGGAAATCTGCTAAAAAAAATCCTTGAAATCCTTTAAAAAGCCTTGAAACTGTTAAAATACTTGATAGATATTTGAAACTCCTGAAGTCCTTGAAATTGTTGAAACCTTTAAACTCCTGAAATCCTTGAAACTGTTGAAACATTGAAACTCCTGAAATCCTTGAAACTTTTTTAAACCTGGAAACTGTTGAAAGTGTGGAAACTCCTGAAATCCTTGAACCTCCTGATATCCTTGAAACTGGTTAAATTCTTAAACAGCTGAAATCCTTGAAACTACTGAATGTATTGAAAGTGTCCTTGAAACTGAAAAATCCCCTCACCGCTGAACACAATTTGGTTCCTGTAACTAAGGAAACCTGGTCTGTGGTCATTATCTGGTGGTGGTCTGAGTCTTCGTTTGGGTCTTGGTCTGGTGGTATAATGCAACCTATTAGGTTGCATTATACATGAAAAAACCCTATTAAGTTGCATTATACTGGTTTACATGAAAAAAACCCTATTAAGTTGCATTATACTGGTTAACATGAAAAAAACCCTATTAAGTTGCATTATACTGGTTTACATGGAAAAATCCCTATTAAGTTGCATAATACTGGTTTACATGGAAAAATCCCCATTAAGTTGCATTATACTGGTTTACATGAAAAAAACCCTATTAAGTTGCATTATACTGGTTTATATGTAAAAAAAAACCCTATTAAGTTGCATTATACTGGTTTACATGAAAAAAACCCTATTAAGTTGCATTATACTGGTTTACATGAAAAAAACCCTATTAAGTTGCATTATACTGGTTTACATGGAAAAATCCCTATTAAGTTGCATATACTGGTTTACATGGAAAAATCCCCATTAAGTTGCATTATACTGGTTTACATGAAAAAAACCCTATTAAGTTGCATTATACTGGTTTACATGGAAAAATCCCCATTAAGTTGCATTATACTGGTTTACATGAAAAAAACCCTATTAAGTTGCTTTATACTGGTTTACATGTAAAAACCCCTATTAGGTTACATTATAGTGGGTTTACATGTAAAAATCCTTATTAGGTTGCATTATACTGGTTTACATGGAAAAATCCCTATTAAGTTGCATTATACTGGTTTACATGTAAAAACCCCTATTAAGTTGCATTATACTGGTTTACATGTAAAAACCCCTATTAAGTTGCATTATACTGGTTTACATGGAAAAATCCCTATTAAGTTGCATTATACTTGGTTTACATGAAAAAACCCTATTAAGTTGCATAATACTGGTTTACATGGAAAAATCCCCATTAAGTTGCATTATACTGGTTTACATGGAAAAAAACCCTATTAAGTTGCATTATACTGGTTTACATGGAAAAATCCCTATTAAGTTGCATTGTACTGGTTTACATGGAAAAATCCCTATTAAGTTGCATTATACTGGTTTACATGGAAAAACCCCTATTAAGTTCCATTATACTAGTTTATATGTAAAAAAAAACCCTATTAAGTTGCATTATACTGGTTTACATGGAAAAATCCCCATTAAGTTGCATTATACTGGTTTACATGAAAAAACCCCTATTAAGTTGCATTATACTGGTTTACATGAAAAAAACCCTATTAAGTTGCATTATACTGGTTAACATGAAAAAAACCCTATTAAGTTGCATTATACTGGTTTACATGGAAAAATCCCTATTAAGTTGCATAATGATACTGGTTTACATGGAAAAATCCCCATTAAGTTGCCATTATACTGGTTTACATGAAAAAAACCCTATTAAGTTGCATTATACTGGTTTATATGTAAAAAAAAACCCTATTAAGTTGCATTATACTGGTTTACATGAAAAAACTGGCAAGGGAACAAAAAAAGAAATATCAAATTAAACCCGATACAATAACAGAACGTCCACACCCATGAAAATTTGGTAAGTGTCATTGAAAAAGCACTTCCACTGTCTTAACCACTTTTCGGCAATTTTTATTATTTGTGCAGTTGCCAAAGTTATTTGAAATTTGATTTTTCCAACGTTATATCACTTACCACTAATGCATATTCATTTTTTGTTCCCTATCCATTATGGGGTTCGATAAGGTACCAACACCACTGCTCTGTTAAAATGTATCAATGATGTATTTTCTTGATTTGACCAAACTATGTCTCTGGGGCGTCCATATTCCATGATCTTTCAAAGCCTTTGTTCTAGTAGATCACTCCCTTCTATGGACAGCTTAACGCAATAGGTCTTGATACCAACGCCATTTTCAATATGTGTGTTGTCACATTGTTCCTAGTCCAACAAATGCATAATTGATAAAGGGCTCCCCTTTGGTCCCCATCCTATTTCAATATTCATCAACGATCTTCCACAAGTCTATCAAAATAAAATATATACGCAGACCGACAGTCATTTCCACATCTACAGTAGGTCCATTCCTATTTTTTCTCGTTTCATTCACGCTTCTCGGGAATCACGCAGCTGCGTGAAAAATCGTACATCTTATCGCCACAAGGTGGGCAGGCTAAGTCCGCTTTAGCCCTCTGCAGCGTCTTAGACGCTCAGGTATATGACTTGGCGTGCAAAACTGTCTAGCCCAAAGGTTGCTCTGTTGGCCGCAATGGTTCGATTAAATACAGGGCATTGAGAACCCAGGTGCGTTCTTGTCTGATGCACATCTTTTGGTGCTTGTGGCAAAATTGTTTTTTCACTAAACTATTATTCTATAACATCTTGTCTTAATGTCTGAAAATCTAGGTGAAACTTCATAGTGTTATACGTTTAAAAATTGTGGATTGGTTTGATAAACGAACGTTACGTACATCCTCCGCTCTGGCCCCGGGAGCATGCTGCTGTGACCCCCGCTCTGAACCCCCCCAACTCTGTGGAATCGCACTTGCCGTCTGGGCTACGAGCGCGGCCATAGACACGGACTCACGTCTACTCTCGCTCTGCTCGCGTCTCTCACTCTCTGCTCGCGTCTCTCTCTATCTGCTCGGTCTCTCTCTCTCTGCTCGGTCTCTCTCTCTCTGCTCGAGACTCTCTCTCTGCTCGCTCCCTTCTCCTCTCCCTCCTTGCTCCGCGTCCTCTCTCTCTGCTCAAGTCTCTTTGTCTCTGATGTGTCTATCTCGCTTGCTCACGTCTCTCCTCTCTGCTCGTATCTCTCTCTCTCTGCTCGCATCTCGCTCTCTATGCTCACTCTCTCTCTGCTCACGTCTCTCTCTCTCTTCTCTGCTCACGCCTCTCTCTTCTGCTCGCCCTTTCCCCCCCCCCCCCCCCCCCCCCCCCCCCCCCCCCCCCCCTCCCCCACCCCCCCCCCCCCCATCTCTTCTTGCTCGCATCTTCTCTCTCTTCTCGCTCGCCATCTCTCTCTCTCTGCTCGCATATCTCGCTCTCTGCTCGCATCTCTCTCTCTCTGCTCGCCGTCTCTTCTCTGCTCGCGTCTCTCTCACTGCTCGACGTCTCTCTCTCCTTGCCTCAACCTCTCTCTCTCTCTGCTCGCGTCTCTCTCTCTCTGTCACCTCTCTCTCTCTCTCTCTCTGCTCACCTCCTCTCTTCTCTCTGCTCACGTCTCTCTCTCTCTGCTCCGTCTTCTCTCTGCTCACTCTCTCTCTCACTCTCTGCTTCCCGGCTGCTCTCTCTCTGCTCGGTCTCGCTCTTTTCTGCTCACGTCTCTCTCTCTGCTGCTCCGTCTCTCCTGCGCAGTTCTCTCTCTCTCTCTGCTCACGTTCTCTTTGCTCGCGTCTCATCTTCTCTGCTCGATCTCTCTCTCTGCTCTCGGTCTCTCTCTCTCTGCTCACGTCTCTCTCTGCTCACCCTATCTCTCTGGCTCACGTCTCTCTCCTCTCTGTCTCGCTCTCTCTATCTCTGCTCACGTCTCTCTCTCTCTGCTCAGTCTCTCTCTCTCTCTTGCTCACGTCTCTCCTCTCTGCTCACGTCTCGCTCTCTCTGCTCACGTTCTCTTGCTCGCGTCTTCCTTCTCTCTGCGCAAGCTCTCTCTATGCTCTCTCTCTCTGCTCACGTCTCCTCTCGGCTCACGTCTCTCTCTGCTCGCGTCTCTCTCTCTTGCTCACGGTCTCTCTTGCTCAGTCTCTCTCTGCTCACGTCTCTATATCTCTCCCCTGCTCACGTCTCTCTCTCTCTGCTCACGTCGTCTCTCGCTCGAGTCTCACTCTCTCTTGCTCAGTCTCTCTCTGCTCTCTCTTCTCGGTTCGCGTCGCTCTCTCTTGCTCACGTCTCTCTCGGCTCTCTCTCTCCACTCCCTCCCGTCTATCTCTCTCTGCTCACGTCGCTCTCTGCTCAATCTCTCTCCTCTAGCTCTGCTCACGCCTCTATCTCTGCTCACGTCTCTCTCTGCTCACGTCTCTTCTGCTCACGGACTCTTTCTCTCACTGCTCACGTCTTCTCTCTGCTCACGTCTCATATGCTCCGTCTCTCTCTCTCTGCTCACGTCTCTCTCTTGCCGCGTCTCTCTCTCTCTGATCACGTCTCTCTCTGCTCTCTTTCTCTGCTCGCGTCTCTCTCTCTTGCTACGTATCTCTCTGCTCGCGTCTCTCTCTCTCTGCTCACGTCTCTCTCGGCTCAGTCTCTCTCTCTCTGCTCAAGTCTCTCTCTGCTCGCGTCTCTCTCTCCTCTGCTCATCGTCTCTCTCTGCTTCTCTCTATCTGCTCACGTCTCTCTCTCGCTGCTCACGTCTTCTCTCTGCTCTCCTCTCTCGCACTCTCTCTGCTCGCGTCTCTCTCTCTTCTGCTCAGTCTCTCTCTCTCGCTCACGTCTCTCTTGCTCTCTCTCCTCTGCTCACCGTCTCTCTCTCTTGTCATCGTCTCTCTCTCTCTGCTCACGTCTCTCTCTCTCTGCTCACGTCTCTTCTCTGCTTCTCTCTCGCTGCTCACCGTTCTCTCTCTCTGCTTCACGTCTCCTCTTCTGCTCACGTCTCTCTTCTCTGTCACGTCTCTCCACCTGATTTCTTAAAGATTATTGTTGATGCGGAGCAGAGAGTCAGCAACTAGATTGGTTGTGAGATTTTTAAAAGAAGCTAGTTTCTCATCTTTTTCAGCCTGGGAAGTTTGTGAAATGATATTGCATCCGGTGATTAAAGGCTATTTTATTTTAATAATGACAGTAAAACTGACATTTAAAGTCCGTGCACTCCCCAATCCACAATCCTCACCGCACGTCACTGTTGTCTGCTATATGCATCTGATCATTTGCTGTTCCTCAACCACACGTGTTTTAGTTTAAAAGTGTAGGCTAGCTGTTGTTCAGTCTTTGAAATGTTGATGTGGCCATTTTATGGCTATTAAAAGCTCAGCCTCTGTCTGTGCGCTTGAACTGCGGCCTAGGACCACTACGCTGGCTTAGCACCCTCTCAGCTGTCTTCGCGCCGAATGGAATGGACTGATTAGCATGATAGTGATAAGATATGTATACAATGCAACGGCCGCCCCCCCCCCCCCCCCCCTCCCCCCCCCCCCCCCCCGCTGAAAAGCAAAAACCTAGGCCATTCCAGTCCTGCTGGACCCAAAGCGTTTGGTTTGTGTTTGTTGTAGGACGCCCCCCCCCCCCTGCAGTGTGCACTTTATGCTTGAAATGTTGTGTGCAGGAACTTCATGTGTTAAGCTCATTTGGAGACCGACGACCGGAGAAGACCTTCAAAGACCCATCAGACTAATAGAGTAATTAAATGTGCTGTGTCCAGATATGGAGAAACAAAGCTAGCTCCTACAGGGTTTTTAACACTGCTAAAAATCACGGGACAGAAGCAGCTCTCCTCCCCACACCGAATAATCCAAAGCCCACCCCAGGCCCCTGCTGTAATAAGTCATTACCTAAATTTGCAAATCAATACATGCAAATGTTAGCAGCCTAACTATCCTTCTTGTCAAAACAGGGCCTATTTCGCTTGGGTTTGCTAGTGTTAAAACTAAGCAGACATTCATCAGCCCACTCCATTATATTTGTAACACAGGAGAGATAGAAAGTTTCCTCCCATTCATACATTTGTCATTAGCAAGATCGTTTTACAAGTTTACTACAGTCTAGCAAATCTATTCATTTCAACCGTCGGCACCCAACAAGCCAAAACACGCATGAAATTCAGATCTTGGACAATAATCAACAAGTTCACACTCTGGCATCATGTTTAAAATAAAAATGAATTGCCGCATCAGAAAATGTCTAACGGAAACACGCAAAACTTCGAATCCTTATTATATAATAGCCTCTGAATTTTATTCTTTTAAATACTGATGTTATAACACTCACCATTAATGCGACTTCTGGTGCTGGGACTGTAAAAAATACAACTCAAAATTGTTCACTTACTACGATTTTGTGCATTCACTGACAATAAAATTTGCCTGGTTGGAACTTATGTACTCTAGAAGGCCATGGCCTGAATAGTAGTACCAAAAACAAGATAAATAGAAGTAAAGCCACACAAGTTCTTTGATTGTCTATCTGTCGATTGTGTATCCGTTGTTTTAGCTGACTGACGCCAAATATATCCAATTATATAATGTTTCCCTGTTTATTGTTATGCCTGAATCTACCACCTGTTGCTGAATAAACTTCCAAGTTGCTCTGGTGTGCAAAGATCCCTGCCTATGCGCTAGATTTTCGACACTCACTTTCTGAAGTTTCTGATGAAAAGTTCATCTATTTTGATATATTAAGTTGATTTTGGACATTGAAGTTGTAGTGAACTTCTGAAAGTTCAATTGGCGCACAAGATAGTTCCAGTTCAACTGGAAATTTTATTGTCATGTGAATGCAAAAATCTGCGAGTAAGGTGAACAATTTTGAGTTGTCGTTTTAACAGTTCACCGAGCTATAGTGAGGTCCAAATCTTATCTGCGTTTGATCATTTAACTATGTGGTATGGCAACGCTGCATTCAACTTTAGAACAAACTAATTTGACCAAAAAAACTCACTGTATTGTATTTTTACCAACGTATTCGACAGGGGCCAAGCCAAAACGTAGCCCTTTATATTCTCTGGTCCAGTCTTAGAAACATTAAGTTTCCCCTCTGGTTCACAGTGTGGCGGCACCCGGGGCTGAGTGGATAGCACTCTCGCTTCTGACAAGAAGGTCCTGGGTTCGAATCCGGTCGGAACAGGGGCCATTCTGTGTGGGTCATTGGCATGGTTCTCCTGTGTCTGCATAGGATTCCTCGGGTGTCCGGTTTCCCTACCCAAGTGACCTTGGTCCATGAAATGCGCTATATAAATAAAACATCTTGATCTTTTAATGTGGGTGCTTAATTTAAACTCAAATTAGTAAGTTATTGTAGGTGACCGTTTAATCTGAACCTTAAAAAAAGAAAGTTTTTACCAGACTATGAAATTTCCATTACTGAATTTAAAAAAACATCGTTGGCAGAACTTGGAAAACTTAACTGGACCCAACTTAATAAGTGTTGTCTTCAAAACTTGAAGAATTAAGTTAATGCCTTCAACTCCAAAATCCTTCGCAGCTGGTTGCTTTGAAATTTTGAGTTGAACTAACTTTATCTTTTTTTACAGTGTGCCTGGACCATGAGTCCAATTAAAATAATGGACATTGCATCCTGCAGCCCTGAAAGGACATGCGAGGTGCGCGGGTCGGCCCGAAACCCGAGTCAAACCCGCGGGTCCCGCGGGTTTTTTCGGGGCGGGTTGGATGCCTCAAAAATATGAGTATGGTCAGGTGCGGGTGGGTCGGGTCAGAAAGCTCCTGATCCTATATCATTTATATATGTGAGCCACGGTATGTGAGTCCCTGAGTACATTTGCAATCGCGAGGGGAGGATGTTAAACAAAAATCATGCTGACAAACAGGATGCTCCTTCATGACTCCCGCTTAAAAGCCTCAGAACACTCCAGTTCCGAGGACAGTCGTGTGATTCTACACAGAGGCACGAGACTGAGGACGTGTGGGCCTAACATGCCAGAGGCCTAAGAGGGGCCTCATTACTTTAATTAGCAATGCACGACTCAAGTGGCAACGCTGTGGTGAAAAGAGGTCGCTGTCTTACTCATTTAGTTCCTTTGATTCTGAGCAGCTAACTAATCAAGAATATATCGCCTCCCACCCACTATCAATAAACATATATTTTATTCATAGAAATCCATTAAATGTGTGGATTGTTCTGGATATTCCGTTTATGTCCTGAGACTATGATTAATAAAGTGTGACGAATATGAGGCAGAGTGGCCACAGATAGTCTGGACTCGGAAAAAAAATGGGTTCGGGATTATCCTCGGGCATTCGCGCGGGTTAATGACGTCGCCGCGAGGGGATATTTCCTGGGTAAACAGAATCACTTATTACTGCGCATTACGGTGAAAGCGGATCTCTCCAGCTGTTGCGGTTCGGAGCTATAATCGACGAACTTAATAGCAAAATACAGGTAAGTAACCAGGGTTTTGGAAACCAACACACACACCTACAACTAAGATTATAAGCTTTAGAATGATGGTATATTTGAATCATGTCACGGTTATTTTGACCCGCGGATCAGTGAATAAAGTTGAAAAACCGACGCGGCTTCATCACACACTCTGCTCTGATGCGAAGCGGCAGGCAGTCCCGGGCGAGTCCACTTTTCCGGGGGGTCGAAACGCGAGTCACGTGGCCCAAACGACCAATGCCATTGGTTGGCCTATCCATTTTACATGTTAAACAAGGGTCGTTTGGGTTGTTAAACAGTTTAAAGCTTCGGGTCTGTAAACTATAGTCTCATAAATAACATGCTTAAAGCTGAGGTCTGTAATAACTTTAGTCATGATAAATAACATGTTTAAAGTTTGAGGTCTGTAACTTGTAGTTCATACATACACATGTTTAAAGCTGAGGTCTGTAACTTTGTCTCATAAATAACACTGTTTAAAGCTGGGTGTCTGTAACTTTAGTCACATTAATAACGTTTACAGTTGAGGTCTGTAACTTTAGTCTCATTAATAACATTGTTTAAAGCTCGGGTCTGTAATTTAGTCTCACTTTAATAAAATGTTTAAAGCTGTGGTATGTAACTTTAGTCTCTTAATAACATGTTTCAAAGGCTGGGTCTGTAACTTTTTTTTCAAATTTAAACAAATTTTTTTTTTTTTACAACAAACACCACACACACCCCCCCACACCTCTTTTACAACACAACACATTAACTCTCATAAATAACACATGTTTAAACAGTGCGGTCTGTAATTTTAGTCTCATAAATAACACGTTGTGTGTGTGCATATGCCCATAATCATTTCTAAGATCATATTTAGATTGCTTACCTTTATTTTGATATTTTACATTAGTATTTTGAAAAAAAATGTTTTCCGGTTTTTCATGTTGGCAGCATCTTGGATAAGCTGGCAGGCCCATTTGGAAGTCGGCGTGTCGGCAAATTGTAAAATTGCATATCGAATTCAACATCACCTGGAATTGTTTACTTCTTTACTGTGAATTGTAATGTTTTAGTTAGTAAAATAGGAAGTTACAGCACTTTAGAAGAAATGAATAAAGGCTTGAAACTGGCTGAATAGAGGTTCCACAGTATCCCTTTGTTTTAAACCAAATTACTTTCATATAAGCGCATAAAAGCACTTTCAATATGGTAATAAAATCATAACCACTTAATCCGATTTTCATAATTCAAAAACTGTTTTATTCCTCTTACTGAGTGGATAGTACTGTGCTGAATTAATCTGATTTGGAATTTAAAAAATTAATCTTGCATTGTACTTTAATAACTTACAGTCTGTGGAAATACACGGGCTACATGTGGTTACCGTGCTTAGACTATATTAATATTGTATGTGTAACATTCAAAATTAGATTGAGTGAATTTCCCTTTTCCTCATTTCGTGAATTTGCGGAGGAGAGGAGAGGAGCTGGCGAGAGAAGTTTGGCAGTTAAAATAAATGAATTACAGCTTGCTAAAGTATTTGAAAGCAATCTTCATTATGATTGTTATATTTATGTTATTTCTTATAAATGTTAGAGATGCCAGAGAATAGGCGTCTGCTTTTTTTCTGAGTGGAGGAGAACACCAGCGGAGTGTTTGAGGCAAATAACGTTCCAGGTTATTATTACCACTAGTTTCTCTTTCCATAACGATATACTTCTTTTTGGAAAGATCCACCAACGTGATGCAAAAAGTTTGACGTTATAAGCAGTAGTTTTAATGTCTGCGGTTTTCAGAGACTGGCCTGCTAACGCTACTAATTGAATATATGTTTTTATGTTTATGTGTAAGTCCAGAAAGAGAAAACTCAAAGCCGCACACTGTCTTTGGCACTGCCGGACATGGGACATATGCTGATGGATCCTGATGACAGCTTGAGTGGCGTCACGCTGCAGATTTGCGACGTCTTAATGAGATTTGAGGTGCACCTGTCGCTCAGACCTCACTCCCTTCACCTCACTGCTAATTTACACATCACGCGTTACAGCACGTACGCGTTATACGCGCAGCAGACGCGCGTAACTTTTTTCCATGTTAACCTATGATGATATTTACACTTCTAGCGTTATACGCGCGTATGACGGACATGTGACGCGAAGCTGCGCTCTAATTTAGGATGGATTTCTAATTTTGTGCGCGCACCAACGCGTCTCCCATTGAAATGTCATGTAAAACTTTATTTTTCTAGCGGTCCTTGGCTTTAGATCACATCTGCACGCACACTGCACTTGTGTCTAAACATCAGCAGGAGGAGCAGCAGGTTTTACAGTGATTCTGGACATCGTTTTTTTTCTTTCATAAAGTCTCGCGTCTGGACAAACCAGCGCACAGAGACCATGAAGACAAACACATGCATGTGATTTGTGTTGCTCTACATCAGTCCTCTGGCTCGTACTGTCCTCTACACTGCTCCATAGACTACACAGGGAGAGCATCAGAAGCCGCGGACCTGCGCGCACGGTCAGTGTAGATACTCCAAAAAAATGTTACGCGCAGAGAGCGCGCAGTAAACGCGTACGCGCTGTTTACGCCTACTGTGTAAATCCCCCGTCAGACTCATGCTCCACAGCGGGGGGCCACGAGCACCAGTCCACACCCACTGAAGCAAGCATCGGACCCAGCCAGGACCATGCGCCTCTACCATGGCCCCCAGGTGAGACCACGGCACTGTTGTATTTATGATGCAGGCAGATATTTATTTATTCATTCATTTATTTATTTATTTGTATTCATTTTTAATTATTTGTATTCATTATTTTAATTATTTTTGATTCATTTATTTAACTATTTTTTTAATGTATTTTTCCTTTATTTTTTTCTTTCAGTTGTGGACATGGCAATTCAACACATAATACAGTTACATTTCAAATAATTGTCATCCTGTCAAACAAATGAAAAGAGAAGAAGAGAAGAAGAAAAAACAATCTTATGTTGCCTGCCCCTTTCCTAAACATGTACCAACTAAAAAAAACGAATTAATTATTTAAGATGGACTGCAGCACTCCTCCAAAATTATAATTATTTATTTTTCTACATAATTATACTCTCATTTTTTCAATCAGTCATTTCATATGATTTCATTGTTGTTACTTTGATGTTGATTTTGACCAAACAGGTCGTATTTATAATAAAATGTTTTTACAGAGATGACGGATGATGATGGATTTAGAAAAGACATGAATGAACGGTCAACAAGAGCAAAAAATATTTTCTAAAACAATTACAAAACCATTTTTAGATTAGAACAGAAACAGATACAAACACAGTGAAATCCATAGCATCCAAAAGACAGTTTTCAATGATTTGAAAGAAACAGAAAATCTGAATCTCACAATTCCTGACTTGAACAAAAACGTGTAATAAAACCAAAGAATAAGTTATGTATCCCAGCTGAAAGCCCTCTGTCCAAATATGTTGTTACTGAAGCTTGTTATTAAGTCTTATTGCTGTCTTTAGGTGCCACAAGCTGTTGGTCATGGGAACCGGAGAGGTGAGTTTTACTGATTATAATCCATTAATGTTAAAATCCTGCAGGCTTGACATAGTTCATCCTCATTTAGAACGACTATAGAAACAGTGTTTTAGATGCGGAGCCACTCAGAAATCAGTAGTTTGCCTGAGCAACCAGAAAGACTGCGCATAAACATCATAATTGAACATATACACGGTGATGGGAATTCTTTTCTGTTCCTCCCCTGTTTACGGCACTAATATTTTTTTTATTTTAGAATTTCGAATCTGTGTGCACAAATTCATGCATGAGTAAGGCCTCAGTTGAAATGGCTGTGCAGTAAGAGGCGCTTTGCCTTGTGGCACTCAGGCCTAAATAAGGATAATAAATTAGATAGATTTAAAATAAGAAACATAGTCACAATAGAGTTAGAGGCCCTAGATTCTAGAATATATAAAGATAGGGTTGGATGCTATTGTAAAAAAAAAACTAAAAAACCTACACATATAATGTTTGAGGCTTGTGTTTCTTCACTCTCTTTAATGCACTGTAACTATTTATAATTTGAATACCTTGCATGATTTTAATGTTTATTTTCTTGTTTTGTCTAGCACTTGAGTTGCCTTGTGTATGAACTGCTAGAACAAAAATTCCCTTGCCTTTGTCTCATAGTGATTAAAATAGATGATATCAGTCGTGAAAATATTGGTAAATAGATAATAAATAATTAATGATTAACAATACATCAATAATCATCAATAATAAATGGAAATAAAAGTAAAAATGGAATTACAGAGCACAACATTAAGTCTTGAAGTTACAATGATAATATAAATCTACTACTGTCCAATGTCAAAATAAGAATCTGTTTAACTTTATGTGATCAGGTTGAACTGTTGTGTTCACAGACAGGACACGCCGGGTCTTCCTCCCTCTTCCTCCTCTTCTTCCTCAGGACTCAGACACCGTCGTGGACTCCCAGGAGGACGACGAGGAGTTGACCGTACCCTGGAAAGTGCTCCTGCCCCTGGGTCCACAGCTCCGCTGCAGCCTGCACCAGGAGCTGCTCTTCTGCCACAAGCGGTGAGAGCTTTCAACACAACAGGGGACACAACAGCACCTTTCATTTGTTCATTAAAGCTGAGGTACCTAACTTTCAAATCACACAAATGGAGCTATGTGTACAATCCATGTAATCCTTTCAAAACAGTCTGATTCTATCACTAATTTTCACATCTTTAGAGCAGCTTTTTTATACAGAAAATTGAAAAAGAGAGGAACACCCTCATTCAACCAATCAGCTTTCTGTTGGGACACAATATATTATTTATGAGACAAAACAAGCAGCATTTTCTTTATTTGTTCAAACATGTTTAACAAAGAAAAAAAGATCCTTTGTCCCAATATACACAGGTAAGTAGCTGTGAATGTACCTTAAATACCTGTGGCTATAATTGCTTCATAATAGAGTATTAAGTATAACTCAATAATTAATGTATGTGTATGTAAAATAATTAATAAAGGGGGTTGAATGAGTTGTTAAATGTTTGTGGGACAATGTCTAATGGGGAATCCGTACTTGTCCTCTTTTGCTTTCCATTGTCCAGCGTCCAATCCTCTTACGGTCGCAGCAGCTGTGGTTCAGGTTTAAGTTCTGTTTAACTCGGATCAAATCAAAAGCACACGGCTCACAGTGTAGCTCACAGCAGGACGCAGCAGACGGAGACCGAGCAGGGGGAGGAGAGGGGTGAGAGCAGGAGCAGGAGGGGCAGGTGGAGAGACAACAACAGGATCAAAGACAGAACCAGGAGCAGAGCATAGGTTTCCTCAGGGTGCTCCGGTTTCCCCATACCACTAGAAAGTAAATATATGCCTCCTGTATTGGCAACCCCACTCCCATCTCTGTGGAGTGGGAGACAAATGAGACAGGAGCAGAGACAGAGACAGAAGCAGAAGCAAAGACATAGACAGGGAGAAGAGCATGACAGAGACGGAAGCGGACACAGGAGTAGAGACAGAGACAGATGCAGAGACAGGAGCAGAGACAGATGCAGAGACAGTAGCAGAGACAGTTGCAGAGACAGGAGTAGAGACAGAGACAGAAGCAGAAGCAAAGACATAGACAGAGAGAAGAGCATGACAGAGACGGAAGCGGACACAGGAGTAGAGACAGATGCAGAGACAGTAGCAGAGGCAGAGACAGGAGCAGGAGACAGATGCAGAGACAGTAGCAGAGGCAGAGACAGGAGCAGGAGACAGATGCAGAGACAGTAGCAGAGACAGTTGCAGAGACAGGAGCAGAGACAGTAGCAGAGGCAGAGACAGGAGCAGGAGACAGATGCAGAGACAGTAGCAGAGGCAGAGACAGGAGCAGGAGACAGATGCAGAGACAGTAGCAGAGGCAGAGACAGGAGCAGGAGACAGATGCAGAGACAGTAGCAGAGACAGTTGCAGAGACAGGAGCAGAGACAGTAGCAGAGGCAGAGACAGGAGCAGGAGACAGATGCAGAGACAGTAGCAGAGGCAGAGACAGGAGCAGGAGACAGATGCAGAGACAGTAGCAGAGACAGTTGCAGAGGCAGAGACAGGAGCAGGAGACAGATGCAGAGACAGTAGCAGAGACAGAGACAGTAGCAGAGACAGTAGCAGAGACAGTAGCAGAGACAGAGACAGTAGCAGAGACAGAGACAGTAGCAGAGACAGTAGCAGAGACAGTAGCAGAGACAGAGACAGTAGCAGAGACAGAGACAGTAGCAGAGACAGAGACAGTAGCAGAGGCAGAGACAGTAGGAGAGACAGAGACAGTAGCAGAGACAGTAGCAGAGACAGAGACAGTAGCAGAGACAGAGACAGTAGCAGAGACAGTAGCAGAGACAGAGACAGTAGCAGAGACAGTAGCAGAGACAGAGACAGTAGCGGAGACAGTAGCAGAGACAGAAGCAGAGACAGGAGCAGAGACAGAAGCAGAGAGAGAAACAGGAGCAGAGACAGAGACAGAAGCAGAGACAGAAGCAGAGACAGGAGCAGAGACAGAGACAGTAGCAGAGACACAGACAGTAGCAGAGACAGAGACAGTAGCAGAGGCAGAGACAGTAGGAGAGACAGAGACAGTAGCAGAGACAGTGGCAGAGACAGTAGCAGAGACAGAGACAGTAGCAGAGACAGTAGCGGAGACAGTAGCAGAGACAGAAGCAGAGACAGGAGCAGAGACAGAGACAGGAGCAGAGACAGAAGCAGAGAGAGAAACAGGAGCAGAGACAGAGACAGAAGCAGAGACAGAAGCAGAGACAGGAGCAGAGACAGGAGCAGAGACAGAAGCAGAGACAGGAGCAGAGACAGAAGCAGAGACAGGAGCAGAGACAGGGGAAGGTGGATCTGGGTACCACTTTCTAACTATTACTTCCATGTCTTCAAAGTGGAAAATAAAGAGTGTGAAGAGAGGTCTTTACGTGAGTGTTCTGTTTGTGCAGAGGTCTGTTGCCGCGGAAGAGGCCAGAGCTCCAGAGTGTCCTGCAGAGACACCGGGAGCAAAGGGAGAGGGTAGAGCGCCCCCTGTCGGACCTGGACCGTCACCTGCAGACATGCACACTCAGGAGGACCGCAGTGAGTGATGAAGAGGGATCTATTTTGGTTATAAAAATAGAATTAATAACATTTTTAATTCAGTGTTTTGAGTGTATAATAATGCAAATAGATACAAACAATGATTGTTTTCTTCCTCAGTTGGAGTCAGAAGATGAGAGAAGAAGGCGACCGATTGAACCAGAGTATGTTAAAGTGAAAGGAGCACTGCGCCACATCTCTGTTTTTCCTCAATGAAGAACATAATAATCTAAATTATGACACATAGATAAATCAGAGGTGACAAGTAACTAAGTATTTTTACTGAAAGACTTTTCCCCTGGTATCTGTACTTTACTAACTTTACTTATCTTTCTGACATCTTTATAATTATTCATCTCTTTTAAACCCTAATATCTGTACTATCGAACCTACTGTCATAGAGGCCATGTCGGTGATGCCAGTCTGCGTGCCAGAAGTTCCTAATATTAACCCGAATGGAGCTAAAAACAATGTGTCTGTTTTGGAGGAACATTGTTGTAACATGATTACAAGCTCAAGACACTATGATTGTCATGTTTTTACTTTGTGATATGGTTTTAATAAAATAATAAATGATGGATTTTGTGTTTACTGAAAAAAGAATATTCAATAAGACATCTTTAGATATTTATTCAAACATTCACAGAGAATATGAACATAACACTGATGTTTTTGTAAAATGTATTGGGAAAGGCATTCACAGTTCAACAGTCTAAACAGGCTCCACAACATGAAAAATAATTAATTTGAGCAATGGTTAAAATATAAGAATACAGTAATAAGAAAAAGTGCCTTTTTGTAATCTCTTACATTCAAACATTCAAACATGGCTTTACTTATGTCTACATTCAGTTTCTTAGACATAAGACTGTTCTAGAATACAGAATGATTAAAGGACTAAAACAGGACTGGGTCAAAATCAATTGAAATGAGATAAACATTCCCAAAAACAGTTTATTTTTTACATAAATACTCAACATTTACGCCTCTGTACCAGTGTTTTTTTAAAATACATTAATAATAAATATATATATAAAAAAACATAACTTTACAAAAATGCAAATAAGGCAGGAATCTCCCGTTTGAGTGTTGGGAAAGTACAGAAGTACCTCAGACAGTTAAGTACATTATAATGACCAACAGCAAAAGGAGACGGAGGAGGAGGGATAGAACACAAGGACTGAACATGAAACCACAAAAAAGGAGGAATGAAATGACTTAAGCTCAGAATCTTCAATCTCTAGGTGTCGTGGGCCATTTGAAAAAAACTCATGTTCTACCGAGGTGCTGCTTCTGGACTGTTTCTGCTTCGGTTTTCCACCAGAGATCAGCCATTGCCTTTAACTATACACTGTTTACTAGCAGCAGTTAACATTTATTAGCTATATTAGTTTTTCAACTCACTGTTTTTACACTGTATTTAGATGGACAATGCTAACCCCCTAGTGCCATGAAGCCCGATAGACAAGTATTCATGGACAATGTTTTGCTCTAACTCCCTCTGGCTCCTATCGACATACATTGAAAAGTAAGTGAGCTAGTTCCTCTCGCTCAGTAACCTGTAATCTGTGGTATAGCATTCTCTATGATCCTGGAGTTTATATTGCGACATTGTCTTTGTAAATCAATCAGTCAGTCATAATCAACGCGTCTGCCCCCGATACAGCCCGAAGCTAACGCTGCAGAGAAAATGCCCCAACAAGGAATTTGTTCAAAACAGCTTCTTCTGGTTGAATACAACCGGTGTTGCTTGTCACACACTAAAAACTAACGTTAATCTGAAAACACTGGTTAAAAATGAATTTTGTATCGACATTATAGTCTACAACAGGCAGGTCCTAAATCCAGCCCCCAAATCTGTGATACATTCACAGTGTCATCCAGCCAACTCAAGCTTCGCAGTAATAGGCCTACTGTCACATCGCCGCCAACTTAACTGAAATGTATTTGAGGTCCTGGCACAAAATTTGTGTTTTTATAGCTGATGGGAATGTAACCATATAATCCTTAACACTAGAACTCCCAGAGTACGTGCCAGCAGTTAGCATTCAGCAGCCCTTCAACAAACTGTTTTTCTGTATTTCAAGTTATATTCACCAGTTTTAGCATGTTTTACAGGTAAACCCCGTATAATTAGCTTAACTTTAATAGAAGAAGAGTAACATTAAAGTCATTCATTGGGATTTTTTCACATTTCCATTGATTTGAATGGGAGCCTTCAAAATGACTGCTCTGGGACTCTACTAGTTTCCGATTTCTGGGAGCCCTGGTGCTAATAGTGTTGTCACGACAGTTTAGGCCATGGCTTATAACGGCTCATCTGTGACCTCTGATATAGAACATGACATAAAGTTGCTGTTTAAGTTTCAGTTATCCCCCAAAACAAAATTTGTACTTGTCAAACTCAAATGAAGATTCTGGGTAAGCCATTTTCTTTCGTTTTCCTTTTTTTTTGCAGCAGCAGTAAATCCACTCCGTCCTTCGCAATCTTAGGGGATACCGTCCTTCCTCTGACAGCACTGGGACGGCGGCACACTCCAGTCGTAGATGTAGCTCAACCTCAGCTTCACTTCCTCCTTGCACAGCCGCCCGTCTCGCTGCAGCGTCTGGTGCTTCTCCAACATGTCCTCCAGACTCTGCTTGTGCGTCACCAAATACTTGTTGTTGCAGCCGCGCGACTTGTACTCCGTGTCGAAGCGCGGGTCGTGAGTCCTCTTCACGTCCACGGGAGCCAGCCAGGCGCCCAGCGAAACGTCCTCGCTCTGCCACACTTTGAAATACCCCGAGTTCAAGCGGATGTAGCGCACCAGATCCGCCGATAGAATGTAACCGCCTCCCAGGGCGTACGGCAAGTAGTAATCGCAAAGCTCCCAGGAACCTTCCCGCCATTTGCCCGCCGATTTCACTCGACCCCTACCGGAAAAGAAGCCCCAGTACAATCGGCTCGCTTCTTTGGATTTCAACTCCTCCTTGATCAAATCTAAGCGTGCAAACGTGTCGTCATCGGCTTTCAACACAAACTTAAAATCCACGTTTTGGTCCAGCCACGTGTACATATGTATCAACTTCAATGTTAGATTCTCGTACGAGTCTTTCAGATCGGGCAGTAGGAGTAAATCTTTGTGGCGAGCTTGTTCTGTGTTGAGATTTAGCATGTCTTCGCTCGCTAATCCATTGATTCCGACCACGAACATCGCCAAGACGTCCGGGTCCCGCTTGACGAGCCACGTGCTGCGGATGATGCTGCGGCGCTCCGTGTATTTGGGTCCGGTGGTGATGAGGACGACCAGGAACACAGAGGTGTCTCTCCGGGAGTTGTCCGTAGAGGAGGAGAGTTTTAGGGGCGCATCACGGTGGTGCAGATGTGGTGGGCCGGCGCGCGGGGCCAGTCCTGGAGGGTCTGCGTGCGTCTGCTTTAACGTCTCCGAAGTGCATTTGGCCAAAAAGAGCAAAACGACGGCGAAACAGCACACAGAGCCGATGACCAGCGCCGTCTTATGGCGACACAGGAGGCGCACGAGGTTCATGGTGGAGACCTGGGAAGGAAAGGTATAAAAGCACAAATATTGTACATCATCGTGTTAATTGGCCAATAAACATCGTTTTAAAGATGAGGTACCTGCCTTTTTTGTGTCATGAATAACACATGTTGTTTTCAGAATTATTTGTTTTTGCAAAAATTACAAAAACTCTTCTGCTGGTGCCCAGAGTCAGGAATAAACATGGAGATGGAGAATTCAGATGTATGCAGCGAAAGGCTGGAATAGTCTTCCTGAGACAGGCTAATATTGTCTCAGGAAGACTAATAATAAAAGAATATTTATGATTTGAATGCCTTGTATGATGAATTCTTCTCTTGTTTTGTTAAGCACTGAGTTGCCTTGTGTATAAACTATGCCATACAAATAAACTTGCATTGCCAGCAATAAATTATAATCCCAGACATGAAATGCAGTCCATGTTATCTAATAAACAAAGAGAAGCCTATATTGATCCATGTAAGCTGCAGCTGCTAATGTAGTTTCCACCTTAGCTTTGGATCTGGTATTTTAAGATTTGTTATCATTATTTCAACAACATATTCAACACGCAATTTACCTTTAGTTGACACAGTGTGGTCACCGTAAACCAAAAAACAGTCTTGTTGTGCTAACGCGAGCTAAGGGGATAAAATATTGCACGCACTTTCAATAAAACTCGCAAAAAATGTAAACAAAAGGTGCGACGACATGTTGGAGGGGATATCAAAGCACCAATATCAATGCAGAATTAATCTATAGCTTTTTTGTGAGATACGATCCATGTTTGACCTAAAGCTTTTGGATTTTGTGGAAAAATATGATGATTTGCAAAAGAGAGGTGCCATGTCGAAGAGGAAACGGAATTGAAGCCCACCGCCTTGTTTTTTTTCCCAACGCAAAGCTAGCTGACATATTATATATATATATACACTTTATATTGTACTGTTATCACATTCACGTTTGGTGAAATCACTTTTAGAGTCGTGAGAAAATATTTAATTATTCCCGCTCAGGGTTTGGGAAATATGTGTTTGCTTGATCTAGGCAGATTTACGTTTGAGAAAAAAAGACGCTAACTTGAGTCACGTAAAAAACGTCACAGAGAAATATTATGTTTTCAATTCATTTTAGGAAGCAAACTCATTCTCCAACGGTCCACGAGAGGAATGTTAAGCATGTTGTTTTGAAAGTGTCAGGAGAAAAAAAATGAAACGTGACCATTGTGACAGCTGCACAAGAGGATGCGCAGAATAAATATGGGTCAAGTTCCAAAGAGTGCAAACAAGAGCAAAAAGAGTGGCGTTCTTTCAAAATAAAAGCGCTAAAATGAATTTAATGGTCCTTAAAAAGTTACGTGAATCATTTAGCTGAAATCCACCAGCATAAATGTGTAACTATTAGTGACAATGATGAATACCATTTAGTTGAAAATATACTAATTGATTGACTGCGGAACCTTCCGCAGTCAACCATTGGTTTTGTATTTCTTTATTCCGTCATTTTTTTTGACACGTTTCACAGCTTTCACATTTTCAACAATTTCCACAAGTTATACATTCAAAACGCACTCGCACCCATCATCGGGAACGCGCAAATTCAGCGCAGGGGCGCGAGGGTGGAAGTGCGAGTATTGGGACTGGGCCTGTTCCGTGTTCCTTGTGGTTTTGGATTTTGAGTTTGTTTTCATCTGCACTTTTGTTTTTTCATCATAAAATCATTTTTATTTTGGCATTCCTGCATCTTGAGTCCTTCATTCACCTCTCCTCTTTTTTATATGGATAGCTGGTATTTTTTATTGTTTTTGATTATTATTGTATGTGTTTTTATTTATTTTTTGTGTTTTTTCATACATCCGAATATTTTATATTCTTTATACATATATTTATGTCTAATATATATATTTCATTGTGTTGCTTACTTTGTAAACTTGTTTTTGTAAAATGTGCGATATAAATAGTGGATTTTATGTATTTATTTGATAAGGATAGTGAATACTAAAGCTGGGGCATCTGACTGTCAAACCACAACATTGAAAAATGTAATAAATCCTTTTAATTAGTTCAGTAAGTAAGTAAGTAATCTTTATTCATATACTGCCTTTCACAGACCAGAGTCACAAAGCAGTTTACAATTGTTATTTTTGGGCATTTGTCTCTCACTCCACAGAGAGAGCGGGGTCGCCAGTACAGGAGGCGCATGTCAGATCTATTGTACATGTTTTTAGTGGTAGGGGAAACCAGAGTACCCGGAGGAAACCTACGCAGACACGAGGAGAACATGCAAACTCCAGAAAGGCCCTGTTCCGACCGGAATGCAAACCCAGGACCTTCTTGCTGAGAGGCGAGAGTGCGATCCACTCAGCCACCGTGCCGCAAAAGTTTGCTTCTATCATTACATCATCTATGTTTAACCTCTGTCACAGCTTTAGATCAGCTTTTTCAGACAGAAAAGTGAAAAAGAGAGGACCACCCTCAGCCCAACATGTCGAATAATGACTCACAGGGCTTATTCTTACAAGAATGCAAGAGAAAAAATGTTTTCTATTAAGATGGAGACAGGATGACGTTTTAAGATTGCTTTTGTTGGGAAAAAGAACATGTGAAAAAATAAGTTTGTATCTCAGCTTGAAAGTGTTGATGTGAGGAATGTGCAGTAGTTCTTGTCCTCTGTCACATCTTTAGATCAGCTTTTCCAGAAAGAAAAGTAGTACAGGAAAATAAACCTGTTTTTCAGCCACACCACGACATGTCTGATAAAAACATGATGTAACACAGCACAATTTATAGTTTCAAAAACACCATGAGTCCAAAGCACTTTTCAAAGAATGTGCCGTAAAGTGCAGGTTCCTGAGTGCTCCGCTACAGAAGGAAATGAATCTATATCCATTTACTTCTCACCTGTGTTCTGAGAGTTTAAAAGGCTCCTCTCACACCTCCGATATCGATTTGTTCTGAGGAGGAAGTAGAGCCCGCAACACAAACGCAGACTGTCAAAATGGTTCTAATAATATTTGATAATAGTATTGATAAGTCATATTCATCAAAATCAATCTTTTCTCCATTGTTCTCTACAACAGAATGGGTCTGAGGTTGTAGATCCAGGACTGAGGCTGTAGATCCAGGACTGAGACTGTAGATCCAGGACTGAGACTGTAGATCCAGGACTGAGACTGTAGATCCAGGACTGAGGTTGTAGATCCAGGACTGAGACTGTAGATCCAGGACTGAGACTGTAGATCCAGAACAGACCACAGGTGACGTCATACTGTATATGATGACATGTAAAGCGTCTCCATTAACAAATTAAAACACCTTTACAATCCATCCATAGATGTGTCTCCTGCGGAGGCATCAGAGACTCAGTTTTCTCAATATGGTTATGGCATATACTGTTAAATCAAAAACACAATGGTAATTCCTTTTGTGATTTTAATGCTACTCTTCCTGTGTGTACTTGTAAATAGTAGTACATTTAAGGAGTTTTATGACGATTTTTTTTGTTTTTTATTTGTATGCTTGCATTTACCTATTTGTATGATTTACTCTTTGCACCTTGAACCAAAGCAAATTCCTAGTTTGAGACTTCCTGTTACATAAAACGGCAATACAAATAATTCGCATTCTGTTTTGAGTTGGTTATTGGTTAATTAACGGTGAAACGCTTTGAGTTACTTTTACTTATACAGAAATCTCTCTGAAAACAAAGATTGATTGATTGAAATAATTCGGACCAATCAGGAAGCAGAGAAAATGTTGATGAATTAAACCAATTTGAAGCAACATTCGAGTATTTTTGCTGTACTTTTTTCTCTGTTCCAAAAGACAGACTCACAAACAACACATTTCTTTTCGCTCCATTGCCTTTATCATCTTGTTTACCGTTGAACCCTCACATGCAGCTGTTGAGTTGCACCCAGAGTTACATGTGGAGAGTATTTCAGGCTTGCTCCAGAGACGAAAGGCATTGCCGTGTCTCCCGGTTATAGCGATCGATCAGGCTTCTGGACCTGGCCCTTGCGTTTGTTTACAGCCGTTCACCCTTTGTCTCCACAGTGGGATCCAGGGGAAGAAGTGCGGCACCATCATCCTGACAGCGGAGGAGCTCAGCAACTGTCGAGTGAGTCAACAACACACTATTTTAATAATATTTCGGATTCTGAAAGTGCATCCTGGGATCCCGATCTCCAACATAGAAATCTTGCTGGTGACAAAACTGAAACTGAACTGCAAAAAGTTTTTAAATGTGCTCAAATTTGGTCAATTGTGTTTTATTTTGAGCACAATTTGACTGCCTTAAAACGAGATTTTCCAATGAGACAAGCAAAGTTATCTTGTCTTAAAGGAATAGTTCACCGTTTTTACATACTGACATATGTTCTTACCTTACCTTAGACTAGTTAATACGTACCTGTCTGGTCTTAGTCCGTGCGCTCTGTCATGCAAACGGAGCAAAAACGGGAGCACAAACGCAGCCTCCTCTGTATACTGTATAGGACCCAAAAGGTAGCTCCCGCTAGAAGCTACCAAACTCTTCCAAGTGTTCCCTATTAAATGTATATAGTTACGTGACGTGTTACACTGCAAAGTATAGTAACACAGAAATGTAACAGTCGATTTTCTCAGCGGATAAAACGGGTACTATATTGTGAGGCGTAGTAATCTGAGGAGCGCTACGTCCGCGCACTAACTTCTCTCCGGAGACTTCTCTCTCGCTCACTTCCGTCAATAGAAGCAGCGTGACTTGTAGTACAACACAGTAGCAGCGAGAGAGAAGTCTCCGGAGAGAAGTTAGTGCGCGGACGTAGCGCTCCTAACTTCTCTGCGCACTAACTTCTCTCCGGACAGGTATGTATTAACTAGTCTAAGGTAAGGTAAGAACATATGTCAGTATGTAAAAACGGTGAACTATTCCTTTAAAGAGATTCAAGAAATGTCTCCCTTATAGCAGAAAATATAGCAACAAGACTAAGTGGTTTTGTCCCATTGGAAAATCTTGTTTTAAGACTGAATTTACTAGAAATAAGATTTAAAAAACATGCAGTGTATGTTGATTTGAGCGTGAAGGGAGTTGGTAATAATGCAACTATGAAACTATATGTACTTTTGTCCTTTTGTGTTTTAAAATGTGAAATATCATCATTAGTAGAAAATATATGGTGAAAGAAGTTTTGGTGAAAGAAGTTTGTTAGTTGTAAAAAATGATTTCCACCTGTAACTCCTAATGCTACCACCAGAGGGAGGAGCATAATGTGTTTGTTTATTTCCAAATTTGAAAACTACTGGCTGCAAACACATAGATGTGACCAAACTAATTTATGAGAACTACTTTTGTTTAAAAAGCAGAAATCTTCTCCGGGTGTGATGTCATAGCGGTACAATGACATCATACTATTACATTACTGAGACAGGAGCTTTTAGTCAGGAGGGGTGGAAAGATGGAGTTTGCTTGTTCTCTCCGTGTCTGTATGTTTCCTCCAGGTCCACTAAAAACATGAACAATAGTTCAGGGCGAATGAGAGCGTGTTTGCGACTGTGACTGTGGAACTATAATTGAAAAATCAGCCCAAAAGCTCCAATCTATTTCTTACAGCTGTTCTTTTGTACACACTCTCCCCTCGAAAATAAACAAATAAACATGTTTTGTTAATATGCCAAATGTACAATACTGTTTTGTACGTTTTGCGTGACACTATCTATATATATATTTTTTATTTAAAAAAAATATATAAAGCCAAATATTAGTAAATATTGACCGTTTGAAGCTAATCTAACTTTCACAAAATATTTAACAATGACAGAAAAACAAAATCGGTGTTGGCTCTCAAAACCGTTCTATCGCTACTTTTCACATGCATGTATTTTTGGATCTTCACAAAGACAGAAAAGTAAAAAAAAGAGAGTACTGCCCTCACTCAACCAATCAGCTCTCAGCCCAAAGAGTCAAACAGTGACTCAGAAGGGTAGTATTCAAAAGATTATATGTTTTCTATTATTCTGAAGGCAGTATGTTGTGGTCTGACTCTTTCTGTTGGGACATAGTAGAGCCGAGCAGAGAAGGGTTCAGGGCTGGTGGGAATGGGGTTGAGAACACTTTAGTACCAGCTCGGCCCGCTCAGAACCAGGACCAGGACTCTTTCTATTAGGAAAGCGTATTATTCGTATAACAAACTCAGCCCAGCTTTGTGTGCCAACATGAACCCAATCATTTGTTTTTAGGAAGTTTAAAAAGAATGAAACTGAAGAGCTGAACTCAAATAGCTCCGAGGCCTGTTTTAGTTCAATAATTCTAAAAGTATTATTTTTATTGCGTCTTTATCACAGGTCACCGAGGCCAAACCGGCTCTGCGTTCAGTTAGTCTGTGGAAAGAAGTTTAAAACTATGCATTTTTGATGTTCTGGTGAAGGTTGATGAGCTGCAGGTCATTGTCAATAATGAAGAGAGTTTTGGCCTTGAATCGACCGCAGCAGAACCGGTCCCACACCAGGACTGAGCTCTGAATACAGACCGAGCTCAAAGACATGGAAGAGCAACCATTATACATCATTATTTGTTTTGGCTTCTGAGCACGATCATTAGAACTTTTCCTTTGGCATTTCATGTTTCTTCAGTAGAAAATGTAGTAGCAGTGTAAGGACAGGTACTCCACATTTATCATTAAATATTACAGCCCTAACCCTAACTATTACATAACCTTACTTATCCCAAAACTATTTTGAGGCAGTAATCAGAATGAAATGTTATGATGTGAACTGATTTTTTTTGGAAAAAGTTAAGTCAAACATCATTGTTTTGCTTTTGTGGATCTGCATTATCAGACTAAAATGGCAGTGAAACAAGATTTAAACCAGACATTAACATTTTGGTTGAGAACAAATATCTGTGCTAATTTGGAAAGCTGCATTCAATGACCAAATTTGGCATTGTAGCATATTTGCTTCTCTGGGTTCTTAGGGACATATGTTTGTGAATGCATTAAACCAACCTGTGGGATGAAAGGATCTCTTAATTTTAAAGGACAACTCACCCTCAAATCCACTTTTTTTTTTGCTGATAAACGGTATAAAAGGGTCCAATAGTGTTGTGTACATATCCTGGTCATAATTTTGTCACTTTAGTGCAAATTGGTTGAAAGATCAACTTTCTGCCTGAAACCGTCAGTGCGTCATCTGCAGGCAACCTGTATTTACTACATTTGAATTTTGAATCTGACGTCTGCAGTGATACCTGACGTCTGCAGTGATACCTGACGTCTGCAGTGATACCTGACGTCTGCAGTGATACCTGACGTCTGCAGGGATACCTGACGTCTGCAGTGATACCTGACGTCTGCAGTGATACCTGACGTCTGCAGTGAGACCTGACGTCTGCAGTGAGACCTGACGTCTGCAGTGATGGCTGACGTCTGCAGTGATACCTGACGTCTGCAGTGAAACCTGACGTCTGCAGTGAAACCTGACGTCTGCAGTGAAGGCTGACGTCTGCAGTGATACCTGACGTCTGCAGTGATACCTGACGTCTGCAGTGATACCTGACGTCTGCAGTGAAACCTGACGTCTGCAGTGATGGCTGACGTCTGCAGTGATGGCTGACGTCTGCAGTGAAACCTGACGTCTGCAGTGATACCTGACGTCTGCAGTGATACCTGACGTCTGCAGTGAAACCTGACGTATGCAGTGATACCTGACGTCTGCAGTGAGACCTGACGTCTGCAGTGATACTTGACGTCTGCAGTGATACCTGACGTCTGCAGTGAAGGCTGACGTCTGCAGTGAAGGCTGACGTCTCTAGTGATACCTGACGTCTGCAGTGAAACCTGACGTCTGCAGTGATGGCTGACGTCTGCAGTGAAACCTGACGTCTGCAGGGATACCTGACGTCTGCAGTGATACCTGACGTCTGCAGTGATACCTGACGTCTGCAGTGAAACCTGACGTCTGCAGTGAAACCTGACGTCTGCAGTGATACCTGACGTCTGCAGTGATACCTGACGTCTGCAGTGATACCTGACGTCTGCAGTGAAACCTGACGTATGCAGTGATACCTGACGTCTGCAGTGAGACCTGACGTCTGCAGTGATACTTGACGTCTGCAGTGATACCTGACGTCTGCAGTGAAACCTGACGTCTGCAGTGAAGGCTGACATCTGCAGTGATACCTGACGTCTGCAGTGATACCTGACGTCTGCAGTGATACCTGACGTCTGCAGTGATACCTGACGTCTGCAGTGATACCTGACGTCTGCAGTGATACCTGACGTCTGCAGTGATACCTGACGTCTGCAGTGATACCTGACGTCTGCAGTGATACCTGACGTCTGCAGTGATACCTGACGTCTGCAGTGATAGCTGACGTCTGCAGTGATAGCTGACGTCTGCAGTGATAGCTGACGTCTGCAGTGATACCTGACGTCTGCAGTGATACCTGACATATGCAGTGATACCTGACGTCTGCAGTGATACCTGACATATGCAGTGATACCTGACGTCTGCAGTGAAGGCTGACGTCTGCAGTGATACCTGACGTCTGCAGTGATACCTGACGTCTGCAGTGATACCTGACATATGCAGTGATACCTGACGTCTGCAGTGATACCTGACATATGCAGTGATACCTGACGTCTGCAGTGATGGCTGACGTCTGCAGTGAAGGCTGACGTCTGCAGTGATACCTGACGTCTGCAGTGATACCTGACGTCTGCAGTGATACCTGACATATGCAGTGATACCTGACGTCTGCAGTGATACCTGACATATGCAGTGATACCTGACGTCTGCAGTGATAGCTGACGTCTGCAGTGATACCTGACATATGCAGTGATACCTGACGTCTGCAGTGATACCTGACATATGCAGTGAAGGCTGACGTCTGCAGTGATACCTGACGTCTGCAGTGATACCTGACGTCTGCAGTGATACCTGACGTCTGCAGTGATACCTGACATATGCAGTGATACCTGACGTCTGCAGTGATACCTGACATATGCAGTGATACCTGACGTCTGCAGTGAAGGCTGACGTCTGCAGTGATACCTGACGTCTGCAGTGATACCTGACGTCTGCAGTGATACCTGACATATGCAGTGATACCTGACGTCTGCAGTGATACCTGACATATGCAGTGATACCTGACGTCTGCAGTGATGGCTGACGTCTGCAGTGAAGGCTGACGTCTGCAGTGAAGGCTGACGTCTGCAGTGATACCTGACGTCTGCAGTGATACCTGACATATGCAGTGATACCTGACGTCTGCAGTGATACCTGACATATGCAGTGATACCTGACGTCTGCAGTGATAGCTGACGTCTGCAGTGATACCTGACATATGCAGTGATACCTGACGTCTGCAGTGATACCTGACATATGCAGTGAAGGCTGACGTCTGCAGTGATACCTGACGTCTGCAGTGATACCTGACGTCTGCAGTGAAACCTGACGTCTGCAGTGATACCTGACGTCTGCAGTGATACCTGACGTCTGCAGTGAAACCTGACGTATGCAGTGATACCTGACGTCTGCAGTGAGACCTGACGTCTGCAGTGATACTTGACGTCTGCAGTGATACCTGACGTCTGCAGTGAAACCTGACGTCTGCAGTGAAGGCTGACGTCTGCAGTGATACCTGACGTCTGCAGTGATACCTGACGTCTGCAGTGATACCTGACGTCTGCAGTGATACCTGACGTCTGCAGTGATACCTGACATATGCAGTGATACCTGACGTCTGCAGTGATAGCTGACGTCTGCAGTGATACCTGACGTCTGCAGTGATAGCTGACGTCTGCAGTGATACCTGACGTCTGCAGTGATACCTGACATATGCAGTGATACCTGACGTCTGCAGTGATACCTGACATATGCAGTGATACCTGACGTCTGCAGTGAAGGCTGACGTCTGCAGTGATACCTGACGTCTGCAGTGATACCTGACGTCTGCAGTGATACCTGACATATGCAGTGATACCTGACGTCTGCAGTGATACCTGACATATGCAGTGATACCTGACGTCTGCAGTGAAGGCTGACGTCTGCAGTAATACCTGACATCTGCAGTGAAGGCTGGCGTCAGTTGCCCTGCCCCCCATTGAGCATGAACGGCCCAGTCTCGTTCACGCCCCCCTAGCAAAGGAAGGAAGGAATAGCAGAGAGTATTTTCATCGATTGTCAGGTTTGCGAGTAGTTATAGCATTTAGGTAGGTTTTTATTTGCATAGCTATTTGTATTATTGATAACTGTGTAGTGTTAATAGCGTTGTTGTTGAATATTGCCTGTCCTTTTTAGTCCTCCAGGCTACGCCCATTTGGAGGAAGATTTGAACAGGAAATGTGAGTGACGTAAGCCTCGAGGAGCAAGGGTGAGAAGTTCTTTAAAAAGTTGTACTTCTTTTGCCATAACCATTGAACTTCATATTGCATATGTGTAACCCATTGTGCTAGAGCAGTGTCTCCCAAAGTGGGGTCCGCGGCCCCCTGGTGGGCCGCGAGGGTACTGCAGGGGGGCCGCGGGAGGTCATAAAAAAAATAAAAATAATAATATTATTATTTAATGTTAAATTTATAATGTTTTGTTTGTAATATTAAAATATTTGTGTTCATTATTTGACTTGAATAATCCACTGTAATCATTTTTGTATTACAATGTTTGTAGCAGAGGCTATTTCCCCAAAATAAAATAACCAGAAGAGCCTATTCTTAATGTTGTCTTCTTGGTTATTATTTTGGGGGGGCCACACAGACCCGACAGATTTTTAAGGGGGCCTCGGTGTTACTGAGTTTGGGAATGGCTGTGCTAGAGGGTTAAGTAGAACTTGGAGTCTAATAAGAATACAAAATAAACCCAGAATAGCCCAATTAACCAGAACTGCAGTGTCACACTCAAAGCCTGACAATAATCAAACATATTTATATTGAGTGATCCATAGTTCTAACTTTTACAACACTTAAGCCCTGTTTCCACCAGCTCTTCTCGGCTCTACTCTACCCTAATTGGGAGTGTTCCGCTGGCTCTGTTTAACCCAGTGGGGGCTGGTCCCGGCTCAAAAATGTCCAAATTGACGTGCGCTGACACACTTGCAATACCACCCCGGGCCGATGGGGGTGGACCCGGATAAGAATTATTCAATGCCAATGACGTATCTTCTAACCTCTCAAAACAGCTTTACAGGATTGTCCAAAAGTCGACTCTTGGCCCAATGCTACGTTCCAGATGCGCGTCAACGCTGAGGGGAGTGAATTGTTTTGGGACCAGTCTAGGTTTGCCGCTGTGAAATTTGGAAGGAACTCGTTAAATGAATGGGGCTCGTGCCGGCTGGCGCATGTGAAGATGGTTTTTTCACATTTTCCAGCCCCCGCCGCCATTTTAAAACTGCCCATAGACGGCGAAAGTTATGGCACATTAGTTTTAACGGCGGAGTTAGGCGTGACTACGTCAGTTAATATTTATGTCTATGGAATTTA